GATAGGCAGACTGAAAATAAGCTACATATTATCAAACCCAAACTTGAAAATTGGCCACCAGTATCTAAATCACGCTACGGACAAGTAACACTTACCTGGCTACATAGGACACACACAGCACACATTCATATCTTCTGTCTGGTGGTGAACAACCTAGCTGTGACAAATGTGGTGAACCACTTACAGTTCTCCACATCCTTGTCCAGTGCAGCGAGTTGGATGGTATTAGAAAAGAACATTTTTTACTGCCCTGACGACAGCAGCTTCCAGTGCACCCTTCTATGTTTATCGGTAGCAATGCACTATTGAAACGAAACTCATTGTTGGCATTTTTTTTAAAAGTACATAGTTTTAACACTATATTTTGAGGTGACCCGTAGCACGGCCTCCGTCCGGAGGTTGCTGTTTCGGTGGCCGCATAGAAAGCACCCTGCCTCGCGGCTCTTGTGCTCAAGGGTAGTGATGAGGCAAATGTGCAAAACAACATGTCAGTCCCAAAGTTTTCCTTATTTTTTTACTATGAGTATTGCCATTAGTCTTTAGTTAGTTATTTCACCTCGCTCACATGGTTTGAATAGCCCCGCCGCGGTGGTCTAGTGGCTAAGGTACTCGGCTGCTGACCCGCAGGGCGCGGGTTCGAATCCCGGCTGTGGCGGCTGCATTTCCGATGGAGGCGGAAATGTTGTAGGCCTGTGTGCTCAGATTTGGGTGCACGTGAAAGAACCCCAGGTGGTCTAAATTTCCGGAGCCCTCCACTACGGTGTCTCTCATAATCATATAGTGGTTTTGGGACGTTAAACCCCACATATCAATCAATCATGGTTTGAATATATTATGTTTTCTCCGCCTTAGGGCGAGCAATTTTAGGCCCTTATACAGCCCTGTAGCATCATCTTAGTTGATATACTTTACATCTCATTGTTCCATTGCAAATTATTGCCACTCTTTCATCTTCCCTATGGTGCTCTTTGGCCAAGACATGGCCCTTGTGCCATTAAAGTCTACATATCATCCTCACGGAAGCATTATTGAGGTGGTCATTGGAACTGAAACGTCTTCTACAGTGACAGTTGCATATGACGTGGCAAAAGGAAGAACCATTCGCCACGTGAAACGATAACGGTATCCATTGGCTGCTTCGTCAGTTGGGTCGTTTTATTCGTCGCACCCTAGCATGTGCGTTATTAAGAACGTCGTCAGTGACGTCGTGCATCTCTTTGCAGCAGTGCCGCTTAGCCGGCGTGCAGTACTTTACAATTATAACTGCCACATTGGGAGGGCGTGGATCGTATGAACGCCCGAACAGCAGAACGACTTTCCAAGAACAGAGCCGACAGCTGATCTGATCCATGAGAGAATTCATGTTCACCGAGCCAATGCATCAATTCGTGCTCAAGAACAGGTCCAGGTGCTGAATCGCAAACAGCAACTGCGCCCCGAGGACCCAGTAACCATATGAGACGTATGCAAGTGACAGTGGCGAGCCGAGGAAGTGGTGTTACAGGCACAGCAGCCTCAGAGTGGCAATAATGTAAACGCGTTTTTGTTATTCCTTCGATGGCAGAGGTCTTTGCGTTTTATTGTACCAATTCTGAACCAGAGGAGTTCCATCAAAACTTCGACTTCATATAGTTGTTTGTTCTAAAGAAAGTTTTCGGGTCCAAGGGAAAAGCTACATCAGTCTGTATTACGCCTGCACTCAAGGTCACTTTAGAGTAGCCACTAGGGCATTGTGCTTGTATTGACGTGATGTACTTAATTTACGTGTGTTTCCAGCTGCGTATATATAATTACGTTGTTTTTTATTACTTATGATCAAGTGAACTGTTTTTAATTGGAACATTCCACCTGGTCATTGATCACAGGAATTTGTGAAATTCCGCCAACTCAGCAAGTACATCGCACCCGCTAGACCAACAACCACCAGACATTACCATGAGTTAAATATGTCTACTTTTTTTCATCGCACGTTGGCGTTTAAATGTAGTTTTTTTGTTCATTTTATAGAATTGTGGAATGCTCTGCCTGGGTATGTTCGATCTTCATCACTTGATGGCTTCTTATTGTATATTACTAATCAATGATGTTCAGCGAACTTTGTTATGTTCCTATGCGTGTTGGGATTCCCCACTCCTGTGTGGCTCTTTCGTACATTGTATTAGCCAACTCCTGCGATAGCGCTTTAGGGCTGCGGTATGTTGAAATAAATTAATTACCTCTGCAGACCGAATGAGAGAAAACTCCGGTTTTCTATACAGAGTACGAAAACACAAATATTTTTTATATGACGTGCATGTCTTAGCAGCGCTGTCAAAGATAACTGCCAGTTTGTTTATGCTTTTCGTTAAAATTTTAGTGCGTAAACAAAGAGTAATTCAAAAGCGTCGAAGTCTCCTGCGCTAAAGTAATCAATTTTATATGCCATGCACTTTCATACTTTACCGTAGACGCTTCTGCAGCAAACCACCTGCATTTTGCGTTGTGCGATGAGTGTATCACCACACGTTTTGAGCTTGCCATGACCCTGACCTGCAGAAAGTTCTTTTCGAAAAAAAAATTATAATGCCGCGTGACACGTGTTGAGCAGGGAACACTACACGACAGCGCACTCAGTCCTGTGCTTTTATGTTCGTCATCCTGTGTCATATTGTTTCTTAGTGTTCTGAAGCAATAACTGTCCATTATAAACCCGCTAGTTCTGCAGCCTTCTAATAGTCGCAATGTTAGTACGCTCGCCTTCTAACGCCCTGTCATATACATACATTATAAGCATGAATACCAATATTAATAAAAAAATGGGAGACCCTTAAGCTTCGCCTTTAAGAGTTGAACGCGATAGCGAAATGCGGCCCCTAGTGCGCCCTTCAACCGCTATAAGTGCATACTTAATAATATGTTTTGTTACATACGCACAGCACGCACACACACGCACACAGTATAATATACCAGCGCGCGCGCGCGAATGGTACATACAGGTTTTTCATCTGAAGCAATAGTCACATGACTTTGAAGATACATGCCGCGCGCTTGCCATCTCGAAAGTCACAAAGAGTCGGAAAATGCCTCACAGATGACAGCACATTATCTAGCGTTTGCTGTTTGCTTGATCAAGGCCTCTGAAAAGGCACGATATGTTTTCCGCTACATGGACATAGTTGTCCATTTTTAGAGCTGTTTCAAAGTTCCTGTGTGTTTTTTAACGGCGATGGCTGCACTATCCCGGCATTTTTTGACGTAGTTTGAGGCCACTCGAATGCGCCTACAAATCTTCGAATGGGCTCATTTTCGTCGTGACACCTGTCGAACAAGATGAGTTATAAGGAATCTAAAATACTCTTTCAAGTAACCACTTGATGAATTCATAGAAGAGCTTATTGCCCCACGAATTCAACGCTGCAAACATTTTTAGAATCCGTCAAGTGCGAGTGGAGTTACAAAGGTTAGTCGCATGCTGCAATTGCACTCTCTCTTCTCTCGTCCCGACGAAAGCGCTGGAAGCTAAGCAGGGAGGAGTGGCCGGGCAAAGAAACTACGTCACTCGCACCTCACTACTTTGAGCACTTCTTTCTGTTTTTTTTTCGAATTTGCGGTCTTTTCCGAGGGATCACGCGCGCTCGTGGGGAGAAGTAGCGACCTCCCACGCCAATATCTGTAACGAGCTTTTTCGTCCACGGACAATTTCTCGCTCACAACCAATGGGGCCGACGTCGACGGCGGAATTTCTGTGACACCAGCTTTCTAACGCTATGGCGTTAATATAGCGCACTTCAGTCAGTATGCAATGCGCAGTTGGTGACAAAATGCCAGCTGTGCCCCGACCAGGCAACCGTCATGCAAAGAAGAGTGCTGCTAGCACAGTTGCCATGTGTGCATGCTTGCGGCTCTGTTACTCAAACCTTACAAACTTTTGGGTTCATTGCCCTAGTGAGTGTCTGCAAAACTACGCCGCAATGAACAACCACAAGAGCAGCTGAATTTAGTCATGCTTCGGGGAGAGGCCGCCTTCAGGTGATATTACTTTTTTAATATTTTAGGTGCTGGCGTTTCTTTACAGCTATTTTCAATCGCTAATTGTGGGTTCAGTGATTACACACCCTATGAAAGTTTATCGATAAAAGATAACGAATGTTTTTACAACACGGCTACTACAAAACACCGTGCTTTGAGAACGCGTAACAATGATCGCCGTTTTTCGTGCGTATTCTGTGGGAACGTTTCATGTTCTTGGTACATATTTAATTTTCTGCTACAAAATGCTGAACTCAACCTCTCTCCCTAAGTATTTATCTATGAATAGAGCTATGGACTACTCACTGAGAGTTTTATCAGTAAACTATTCTAATATAAACCGGGTAACATCTTGTGAGTCTTTGCCTGTGCGGCAAGTCATTGTATTCGTTAGCAGAAAAAAAATGCTTGTAGCATCTGAAACCCCGACGACAAAATTTACATGACTCGGAAGCCATCAGCCACAAGATGAAATATGAGGCAATTCTTGGTACAAGCCATCGTGATTACCGTTCTAAGGATCAACGATCGCAGCGCCGGGGTTCCTTCACGCATTATATTATAGTAAACTGAGTATATTATGAATTTTATTGAATAGCTGAAGATTAGCACTTACTCCTGTGTACTAAGCTGTTTATTTGTTCAGGTATATTTGTCTGGCTCCCGTATACGAACTTGTGGCAAACACGCATGAAGGAAATCCTCGTTCTATAAAACTTCCCGCAATATTAACTAGGTTTTCAATGAATGAAACTCTCGCGTTGCGATTGTTCAATATTAGGGGAATGATGGGTAGTAGCCAGATTTGCTAGTATTCATGCTTGCGGGCTTTGAACGTATTTGTGGCTTTGTTTATGTAACCGAGTTGGCACGGCCGCGATAGCGAGCGCAAGCTGTTGCTCCTACGTAATCGTGACGTCACCCGCCTGGCCTACTTAAACTCGCCACAATAGGCAATAAAGCGGTTGTTCGACCCATGATATCGTCTCGTACACATGGTGGCAGCGGAAAACAGCCAACATGACGACACCGCCTACGTTGCCGACACCGCCTGCATTGCCGACAACGCTCCTGCCGCCTCCGAAGCCCCTCGACACATCGCGAGACGCTTGGCTTGGGTGGAAGACCTGGAAAAGTGAGTTTGAACTGTTTTCCACGGCAACTCAGCTGAACAAGCAACCAAAAGAAGTGCAGGCGGCGACGCTTTTAGTGACCATTGGAGAAGAGGCTAGAAAAGTGTTCGCTTCGTTCAATTTTGAGCCAGGAGAGGACACAACCGATGTAACCCTTATAATTAAAAAATTTGAAGACTTCTACCAGCCCGCGAAGAACCTCACTTACCACGAGTTTTGCTTCGGCTCCCGAGACCAAAAAGAGGACAAAAGTTTCAATGACTGGCTTGTCGAATTGCGAACGCTAGCCCAACACTGCGATTTTTGAGACTTAGAAGAGCGCATGCTTCGTAGCCGCATCATACTCAGTATCCGGGACAAGGGACTGCAAAAGAAGTTAATTTCTGAAAACCCCTCTTACCAAAGAGTAGTCGAAATCTGTCGCATCCAAGAGCAAGGCGAGGAGCAGTTTCGACAGATACGTGGCACCACTGAAGGCGCTGAAACTGCAGCCGTAAATGCGTTGGCCAGAGTAACAAAGCCATGTAACAAATGTGGCTACAAAGTTCACCGCGGCAGCCGCTGCCCAGCAACAGGAAAAGCGTGCAAGAAATGCGGAGGATTGAATCATTTCGCCCAAGCATGCTCACAGTCATCCTTCTTGCACAGCGAAGATGCAAAGCGCAAGGAAATACGAGAGCTACATGTTGACGAAAGGTCAGATTTTTTTCTGGAAGCTTTAACCATGAACGCACTCGCTAGCGACTAGTGGACCGCGACAGTTTCTATTGAAGGCCGTCCGATGGTCTGCAAACTTGATACTGGGGCAAACTGTTGTGTGATTTCAAAGGAAGATGTTTTGTCGCTTCCGAGAAAGACTCGTGAAGCCTGCCGAGCCACGTTAACGAGTTTTTTGGGCCACAAAACGACTGCGCAGTTTAAAGTAAAGTTGTCGCTATCCGTGAACGATAAACAGCACGATGAAACCTTCTTCGTCATAGAGCAAAACGTGCCGGTGACCCTCAGCGGAGCAGCAGCATAAAGCCTTGGCTTGATTTATCGCGTTGATAGCGTCGAGACGCAGCAACTCTACTCGGCGGCTCAGCCCTACACCGATGTTTTCACATGATTGGGCCAGCTGAAGAATTTTGAGTACGAAATGAAGCTCAAACCCGGCGCCGTCGGTGTTGTTGTGCCAGCCAGAAGGGTTCCGGTCGCCATTGAAGAAAAAGTAAAGGCCGAACTTCAACGCATGGAGGAGCACAACGTCATAACCAAGGAGCAAGTTCGCTACTTGGGACACGTTTTCACCACGCAGGGACTGAGCCTGGGACCCGATCGCGTCCAAGCCATTTTGGACATGCCAGCGCCAAGTAACACTTCTGAGCGTCGCCTCGAGGAACTACGTGTGGCAACCGCCAAGGATCCTGCTCTGTCGACCATCCGATCCTATGCAGAGACTGACTGGCCGGAAAACAAAGAGGACGTCCCAGCATGTGCCAGGCCATTTTGGGCGTATCGAGAAGAGATGCATACACAAGATGGCCTCGTCTTTCGCAGCAACAAGAGGCTGATGGGTCGACAGACGAGAACACTGCTCCCGGTTCCCTCCTGCCACCTGAAGCCGGCACCATTGCCCAACAGGAAGGTGCACTCCCGTCTCCAAGAAATTCGCCACAAGCAGAAGGTCTACTACAATCGAGGTGCTCGGGACCTGCGCGCCCTCTCACCGGGTCAGAGGGCCTCGTTGTACGATACGCACACACGGACGTGGTCCCCGGTCATTGTGCTGGGATCAGCGGGAGCTCCACGCTCCGTACTGGTAAAAACAGAAGAAGGCCGAGAAATGCGACGCACACGGGAACATCTCCGGGAGGTTCCAGAGCTACCATGCCCCGACACTACCACAACACCTTCCTCAGGCTTGCCAGGCTCGGGTCCCGTTCCAGAGCCGCCACTACCACGGAGAAGCACTCGGGAACGTCGCGAGCCTCGTCGGTACCCCATGCCAGAGCGACCTATATTGCCCCAAGGAAAGGAAGATGTAACCGAGTTGGCACGGCCGAGACAGCGAGCGCAAGTTGTCGCTCCTACGTAAGCGTGACGTCACGCTTACGTAGGAGCGGTTGTTCGACCCATGATATCGTCTCGTACACAGTTTATGGCTGTGTTTTCGTTTTGAATGAAAGAATAGAAAGTTGTCAACTCGTAGGTTGATTTGAGCTGGCGCACCTAAACAGGTTGAGGTGGTGAAGTGACACTGCCGAACATTTGCTGAACTTCGTCTCGCTACGAAACGCATGTATGCCACATGGAGCCAAACGGGGCTGGAAGAGCGAAGCTTAGACAACTCAGTGTACTGCCCATCATTCCGATGCTGCTTGAAGCGTCATGAATTGCAGCTGTCATGGACACTATAGCGCCAATGTTTTATGTATTGTAGAATTTTCGATGGAGGCGAAAATGCTGTAGGCCCTTGGGCTCAGATTTGGAGATTTGGAAGAAGCCCAGGTGGTCGAAATTTTCGCAGTCTTCCACTACGGCGTCTCTCATAATCACATGGTGGTTTCGGGCCGTTAAGTTCCACATATCAGTCCATCTATTGTATTTTATTGCGATAGCAGTTATATGGACACTCTCGGCTGGATTTCCCCGCCAGCGTGGCGTCATGCACGGTATATGTATACGTGTCTAATATATGAAAACGCAAGAAAGAAAAAGATCCAGAAAAAAAGACTCCGGCGCACGTAATCAAACGTGGAACCTCCGCGTCGTGAATGTAAGGCATTAACCACTGAGCCACCAAGGGCTACCTCCTCCATTGCTCAAACCGCAGGCTAGTTATATCTACCGCTTACTGCTGTTGGCGGGCATCTCGGGGGGTGGGGACTATCGTATTTTCAGCATTATCAGGAAGATGGCGCAACGAGCGCGCGGCGCCTCTCATCTCTCACGGGTACTTTGGCCCGCGGAGAGGAGGGGACTGTACGATCTTTCGCGCGCCCTTATCTCCTGATGGGGAGGACCATACGTCTTGGCTAGCGTTGGGCTTGTACTGGAACGATTGTGTTGTAGTTACGGGGCGTACAAAGGTCGCTGCAATCGTTGCACAGCCTCCGTTTGCGAAAAGGGCACGCTTTTCAGACACAGCGAAGTAACAACTGAGACGGTTATTCGCGTTCATCTGAACGTGTGAGTACGTTTTGTGCGTCATTTGTGTGTGAGAATTGCAGGCCACATTTCGATCTGCTTGCCATTCTGCGCGTGACCTTCCAATTTGTTGCTATTACGTTCATTGCTTCGCCTTTGCGGCTAAGCTGTCACTTGTTTCTTACGTGTTTCTGATCGAGAGCTTGCAAGATAATACTGTAAGAAACAGTCTGTGGAGAGTCTGCAGACTGCATTCTATAAAGGAAATAAGTATCATTACTCTCTGTTTTTACTCGCAATCATACAATGGTTTTGGTGTGGAAGTGATTGTCATATTACTTACAAAACTATTTGTAAAATCTATGAACGTACCGTGATGCCTTTCTACGTGTCAGCAGGTGTCAAGATGTCTCGCCGATGTTGACACGGGTGCAGCTACTGCAAGTCAGACCTTATGCATGACTACAGTACCGACTTCGGGCATGTCCGGATTTCGGAACGCAGTTTTTTATTGTATATCTTGTATACAATAAACAGTTATAATTACGATACAGTTACGATATACAAGTTACAATTCTTGTAACTTGTATATCGACAGCTCTGCTAGAAACCGTGATAATTACAGAGTTTTGATCAATCCTACGATAAAATGGTTCTTGGCGCAGCCAGTTCAAGTACCATGTCGGTATTAAAAGACGTCGAATACGTCATGATTACCTCCTTGACATCCGTGCATTCCGGTGATACCTTTCTCGCCTATTAATTTTTAGCTGCCACTTCGATTGGCCACACCGATTACTACCTTGACTTTCAGACGCATTTTATTGTTTTTGAAGACAACTGGACACGGCTTGTTGATTTGCTATTCTCGATATCTTGCGCACAGATAGCTTGGATAACTGGACCGAAAGCATCGAGCTCCACGGTGCAAGTGGGTCGCCCACGATGCGGTTCCATCCGGCTGATTACGCAGTTTTCTGCCTTCTTACGGGACTCAGTTTCGCATTCGGCCTCTACTACTCTGTGAAAAGGGCAGACCGAAAGCACTCTATTTCCGTCCACACTGCAGCACAGCGCCAGGAAGTCTTCCTTGGCGGCCGCAGCCTTCCAGCATGGTCACTGTCTCTGTCGTTGTTGGCGTCGCTGGCCACAGGTATTGGCGTGGTCAGCCTGTCAGCCCATCAGTACGCCTATGGCCAGCACTTTGTCTGGGACATCGTCACCTTGGTGTTTACCACGCCTTTCATCGTGTACATATTCCTGCCAGTCCTTTACTACCTCAAGGTCACGTCGGTATTCCAGGTATGTAGATAGCCTCACGTATACATAACGATGCACTGCATATATTCACTTTTTTCCCTTGTGCAACACAACTCGTGGACTCCGAGTGGCGCCCTGCCAAAGGACGCCTGCGATTCATCAAGCTTGTTTTCAATACATTCATTTATATTAGCTCTTTCAGGAAATTTCTTCAAAATTCTTAAAAATCAGAAAATTTTGATATTTGTTTGATGCCTTCAAAGTTACTTCTTGTGTAGCAGCAGTAATTCAAGATCACTAAAGACAACACTTTGGACAATAATTAAAAGCCAACTTGATTAACTTTGTCGTTAGTGGATCTTGGCGGTTACGTCCAGCAGGAGAACGGAAGTTCTGCATGCGAAGAACCCATGGCAGCTTGGAGATCTTAAAAAGTGGCCACTTTCAAACACTGGCGTGATAAAATTCAACGGCGAAAGCCAAACCGAAACACCGATGAGCGCAACACGAACAGCGACTTCCTTCTTGTCGTTTTCAAGATAGCCAGAACAGATTGAGATGCAATTATTTCACTAACATTACCACAAGTCCACTCAGCGAATTCAGTGGACGGCTAATATATTGATGCTGACATATTCTGGACAACTTAGAAGAATGTGACCACTGCTCTTGCATGTTTCGGTGTCGGCTTCACCACGGATCTTGGTTGAGTTTCATTGCTTCGCACCTATTACTACAAGCCACTTTACTGAAATATTAAAGCTGCAGCAGGTCTTCCCATGAAGAACTTCAATTCTCTTTTTCACATAACTGCCTCTTCATACTAATCAAAAGTGTATTGTTTCTTTTTTTTAATTTGCAGCAGAGCTGTGATGTTCAGAGTTTATCCAACTTGCTATGTAGACAAAAAAAAAACAATATTCAGCCGGCACAACCACGTCACGCCAAGTTAAGCATAGCAGTGACTAGTTCAGGCGAATTGATAACAGACTGCTGTAATAAAACCTAGTTTAGCATTGTAGAACTTATTAACCAGAATTATTCAAGTGAATCAAATCTCAAATATTTCGGATTGGGTCGAGGTGAGATTTTGATATTGCTTGTCATGCCGAGCTCCACGAGTTGTGCAGAGCTAATCCTGTTTAAGACTAAAACGGAGCCGAAATCGCCAGAATCATGCTCAATGTGAATTCAGTGTGAATTTTCATTAAGCGAACATTGACTTGTGGTGGAGGTTTGTAAACCCAAGGTTTGAGTATGTAAATTGCGGGAATTACGCTAATTAGGCTATAAATATGTCAATGCTACTTGCATGCAACCTAATCAACAGCAAGCTTTGTATATGCCAATTATATCAATATGCTAATTAGGCAAATGAAGCTTCTTGGTGCTGTGATTGCATAGCGATACTCTCTCGAACCCAATCGATACAATCTGTTCACGTGAACACTTCGAGCATCGACGTGTAGATTGGACGTGTGCCTAGCCAAGCTAGAACCAGCCTAGTGCCGATCAGCTCTGCTCTTCGCCAGCCTTGCGCGATGCAGTGTAAGCTGCAAAAGTTTTGTTTGTACGTTATCCGTGGGAACTTTGTGTTTCTGATACGTACAGAACCGCTTGAGTGACTCAGCCATGAAGTGGCTTTGTGACGTAATCGCAAGGTTGCAATTTTTGTACTTGAATAAGCTGCAGGCTCAATCGGCCCTTACAGGAGTGGTTACAAAATAAACATTAAAAATCACAATCAGAAACAGAAACGAATGGCTTGCACTTCAGTAACAAATCATTCTGCGGTAGTACAATTCACAACACTATCAGGCAACAGAACTATCAGGTAACTATCAGCTGTTACCTGATAGTTCGTGTGTCTGAGTGAGACTGAAGGGTATAAAGCGAGCGAAGTATTAAAGATTTTTGGTATAACTACAGGCAGACGGTAGGCTCGAAATGTGGTTTAAAGTGTTAATGACAATGAATGTAATGAAGAAAGATAAAACTTGAAACAAAGCGTACCCCTTAAAATGTCCATGTGTGAAACTCGGCACCACTACATTGGAGGCATAATTGGTGGCTGGGGACTTTTCGCATGGCACTTGGTAAAGGTGGTAAGAAGTGTAGAGTACCTGTTGCTTGCCCAGGAGTGCTTTTCGGCACGTTTTGACTACATATAAATGTTCCTTTATTATACCCAGCGCGGACACAACGCGGACACCCAGAAGTATAAGACAGACAACAGCGCTAATTCACAACTGAACCGAGCCTTCAGTGATTTGGTATTCCATTGTGGATGGCATGTTGCGTAAAAAAAACAACATACAGATAGGAAGGACGATAGCACAGACGGCGCTGTGCCTGTCTGTGCTCTCTTCCTTTTTTTTATTTTTTATGTGCTCAATCTCATGCACAAAGTTTATTGGAAGCAGTTCTACCAAAAAGGGATAATGCCAATATCCCATTTATGTGACCACTTGAACGCACTTTGTTTTTTGATACGTTGAAGGACTATCACCAAAAGGCTCAGCTTTTAATTCTTCAGCCCTCATATTTCGGCTGCTTCCGTGCCAAAGCTTTGCTAAAAAGAACAGTCTACCCGCAGTTTTGTCACCGAGAAATAGTCAACCATATGCGCCCCATGCCTTGCCTTCATAACGAGACGCCCTTTAAAAGCCTTTGTAGTGAAAAGATGGTAATCAATTACTTTATTTATGCCTCGGCAGTGCATTTCTTGGCGGGTCACGTGCGCTAACAACAGCCTAGAGGACTAAGGCGGCACCCAGAACGCCTTGATTGAAAAGGTCTATAAACGCACTAGAGAGAACTCTGGCGCTAGTGTCTAAGAGAGCTACAACGCAGGGCGCTTCAGCCAACATGGGGATGATTAGTAGTACACAAATTTGTCTAATCTTGGTACTTTGGGCTCCGCTCGGCTTCATGTGGCTTAAAGCTACTTTGTCACGAAAATCAGCAAATGCTCCACAGTTCCACTTCACCACCTTGATCTTTTTAGGCTTACCGATTCTAACCTTCTCACAAAGTTCGCAACTGTGTTTCCTTTCATTCAAAACAAAACCAAAACAGCACAACAAACAAAGCCACGAATTCGTTGGAAGCCCGCAAGCACTAAGTCTAAGGAAATTTGTGTACTACCCATCATTTCCAATCCCCGCACAAGAATCTGCTCTAGTTATTTTAGGAAACTACGTGCTTGTTGCAACATTTCACCGATTTATTTAGCGCTGCCATCCATGAATAACCAGTGCAAATTTTCGCTCACCCTCGTACTATACCTTGTGAAACTTCTTTTATTTTTTTCTGCTATTTAGTTTCATGCAGACATCTCATTCTATTTTGCATTCATACTGGGTAAAACTTCGCGTATTTGATGCTGCTCTTTGTTATGGCCATAAGAACAATACCGAAAATTCATTCTCTGCCATGTTTTTTTTTCTTCTTATCCTTGTACACTTTTCGCCAACCAGTATCTGAGGATGCGTTTCGGAAATGCAGTGGGAATTTCGGCCTGTGTCATCTACTTCTTTTTCAGTGTAAGTACAGCCCCCGTCATATGGTACTGCTTTAATTATCTATGTGCGCATATTATGCATATTTTATTTTTATTTGCACAAATATGCCACAAGGCATCTTTCAGACAAGGTGTTCTAGCTGTAAATTAATTGATAGGTTTTAACAATGGGCGCGCACTCAGGAGGGAGGGGGGCAGGGGGGGGGGAAGGAGGGGCGCAAAGCAAGGCCCGTACATTCGCATATAAAGAGTAGGGCCAAAAGGGGCGCGAAACAAGTCTCATGCATTTACGGGTGCAAAGCGAACCCCGTACATTGACATCACAGGGAAAGGAAAGCGCAGAGAAAAACCTTCGCTCGCCCTCCCCCCCCCCCCCCCCCCGTCTGAGAGGAAATCGTGCGCAAGCCTATGGGATTAACGTCCCAAAAGTTCTACCTATGAAATTGGTCTAAATGCAATGGCGGGCTTGTCGGTTTACAAAGCTAAGAAACTTCAACAGCGCTGCTGAATATAGACAAAGAATGCACCCACACATAAAATTCTAGTCCCCTTATTTTCCGAAACAAAAGAAAGCTTTGACATCCAAACACTTTATTGCTTTCCCCCACTCTGTCTTCTCTTGTGTTATACGTAATACATGCTTATACAGCCCTACATGATGTAATAACGAGAAGTAAGAGACAACGTCCGTACGCTGGGCCGGCTGTTCTTCTTCTGTCCTTCGTCTTCCTCTAGCCGAGTATGATAGCGTGCCAGAGCCCCTGCGGCGCTGTCATCCTTACACTCGGCCATGACCGCGACGTAACATGACTAGCTGCTGAAACCGGCTCTGGTGGGCGGCACCGAGTGTACCGCGATGGTCTATCTTGCATTCGCCGCGAGTTGTCTGGCCGAGCTGCAGAACATTCTTGGGGCGACACTGGCTTTTGCGGCATCGTCCCCGTTGCGCAGTGACTTTCCTAACCTCGCTGCCAAACATTCTGGGGGGCTACATTGGCTGTGTGGCGGTGGTCGACCTCAGCCACGCAGCCACCTACTTCGGAAGTCGTTCAATGATGGCTCCAGTGTGGTCTTAAATGATGTCTATGTCGATACGGTCGTTGCCCACTTAGCAGCAGACTACGCTGTCGCTGTGTCGGGCTTAGGTGTAAGTCATCCTTGTACTGAAGCACGCTTGTGAGTTTCTACAGGCTTCAAGACCCTGCCTCCGTGGTTTGACGCTGAGGCCTCAGTGCTGCAGTCTGACTCTCCAATTCTATGGCCACAAAAAGGAAAGACGCTCTCTCGTGACTCCATACCGCTTTCATACGAATCAACGCCTCCAGGACTGGACCCCACACGGCTGACGCCAGCGTTGCACAAAGCCAACATCTTGCTGCTTCGCACGAGTTGGTCACCATGTCACTGATCAGTGCCGTGTTCGCCGTTGACGGATGCGGCCTCCAGGGGTACCGTACGCCTCTATGATGGTGCTCGGGTGCACTGCCCATTATCGTTAGCAGAAGCATGCGCCAGACTGGCAGATCCTGGCAAACAGGCAGAGGGAGATCTTGGATAAATATGCACTCGACGTCCATGGGCTTCTTGAGTTCACTACGAGCGCATTCGGCTTATGACTGACGTGCAGTCAGCAGATATGCCTTCTGCTTGTGAATGAGGATGCCGTTGTTAGTGGACATTTGTGGTTGAGATGTTGCAAAATTTGAATCAGGGGAGTAAATGTTTGGAGTCAGAGCGCGGAGCTTTACTACACAGTCATCTATAATGAGCTGAACCTACCAGACAGGTTGTAGTCTGCACTCAAACTCATGCCCACGTGCAATCCCTCGAGAACGAGAACGGCGGCGGAAAACTTGCTATCAGCTTTAGTTCGTATGTGGAAGTCCAGTGCACCGAAAGCACAGCGCTCCTTTCGAGACCAAGCAAGGGTGCCTCGGACCAAGGCTAGAGGGTGACCGGGGCATGCTGTCGATGCAGTGCAGTACGTGAAGCTCCTCTTTGTACGACTGCCATAAGCCTGCCGATTTAGAAGACGCGGATTTCTACCGTAGGAAGCGGTCTTGTTGGGTATTGAGCAGCTTCGTGTCGTGCATGTGTTGGTGCCACGTTGTTGATGCAGTTACCGAACATCGGTGAGAGAACGTTTTTCCGAAATGGCATTGGAGTGAAATGGATTCTGAACGTCCTGTCGTTGAGCTGCGCTGTTTTATCTGCAGCCTCGGGGAGAAGCCCTTCCTTACCTTCATCCTCGGTAGTCTGGTCGGACGCGTATGGGTCATCGTAGATCCAGCCGAAAACGGCGATGAGCCTTGCACTCCAATTCAACCAGGTCAGTTGATTGATACCCTCGTATTTGTGCAATGACTCGGCACCACTACGAAGGCAAGCAATGACTACCTTTTATTTATAATTTTCGAGCCAGACATGGCAAGAGCCGAAGGTATTGATGGTCGCCATCCACATACCAGTGCCATCTTGGAAGCCTCGAAACTCCGGAACTCACGAAAGAGCGGTATATTGTGAAGCGGCCGGCCAGACCCCAGAGCGCAACAACGAGAAGTGGTCGATTTGGTGTGACAGTTGCGTGAAAGTACAGAAAAGCTCTGCGCAGCTGTCGAGTGAGGCACCTGATGGACAAGAAATCACGTCCGCGCAGTATGGGGTAGTCGTATCACTCACTGAGGGAAGGCCGCAAAGACAAGGGAGCATGTACAGCGTACCTTGGCCGCTCAGACGATGGTGGAAGCCTTGTTGCGCCTTGGGAAGCGTGAACCACGTTTCCAGGAAGGAGCCCGTGCGCATTGGCGTGATGTAGCACGCCACCGGTCAACTAGTTCCTTGGGGAGGCCTGGACGCTGTCCACTGATGGCGGGATTAATACTTCCGGTGGTGGTTGACTTGCGGATTTCGTTAACGAGGAAGCATGGCATCGTTCCTAAGGAAGAAGCGTTACCTCAAGCAGGTAGCTGAGGTTTGCCGAAGCCTTTCGACGACTGCGCCACTGTAAAAACGAGAAGAGACAGCGCTCGTACGCTGGACCAGCTGTTCTTCTGTCCTTCGTCCTCTTCTAGCAAAGCATGCGCCCGCGCCAAAGCCCCACCGACGCTGGCATCCTCACAGTATTTATATACAGCCTTCAAACTTCGATAGCTCACTCGGCTGCCGCCACACTGGTTTACTATGCCCGTACTTTATGCAGAAACCCTTGTTAAGCATGATTTCCGTCTAGGCGGAATTGACGCTTAACAAGGATTAAGTAACGAGAGCTCTCGTTACTATTGTGTCTCATAGCCAGGCAAAAACGTACAATGCCCGAAACAAGGCATGGGCGTGATAGCCAGGAAAACAAGTTAAAAAGTTTTGGCAACGACACTCGATTCCTGTCGCACAATTCAGCTGCATCGACATGAGAAAAATCGGTGCCTTATGCAATGGTTTTCCTGTGTATCGCTTGTGATATCTGGTAATTTTTTATTATTTGTTATTGAATATTTGTAATTACGTTATTCGTAGAGTATAGATGCACGAGAAAGGGCATGTGCTAACCTTTGTCACATCTGCCCCTCCTACAGTGCGTTAAGGCCTTAATTGTGCTCGAGCCACCCGTGCCAGTTTCACTGTACCACTAGCGCTTAGTCCAGATGGATGGATGGATGGATGGATGGATGGATGGATGGATGGATGGATGGATGGATGGATGGATGGATGGATGGACGGACGGACGGACGGACGGACGGACGGATGGATGGATGGATGGATGGATGGATGGACGGACGGACGGACGGACGGACGGACGGATATGGCTGTACTCATTCAATCGGGCGGTGGCTAGTGCCACCAAGCCGTAATACTTAATGAACCAAAAGCTAAATTTATTTTTTTTTCCTTAAATAGCGAGGTTGAGGATTCGTACTTTGCAGCGAATAGTTCAATTTTCACTCGTGCCTTGACTTTAGCCACCAATCAGATAACTTCCTTCTAGTTCATTCTACCCGCTTAAAGTCTATTTTGCCCTCACTGTCCCTAAACCCCAGTGCTTTGAAAAACTCTGCGCCATCAACCCGAACTACAGGGTGAAGCCCTTTACAGAACATTATCAAGTGTTCGGCAGTTTCTTCTTCCTCTCCACACGCACTGCATGTCATGTCTATTCCTTCGTATTTGGCCCGATATGTCTTGGTTCGCAGCACTCCCGTCCTGGCCTCAAACAGTAGAGAACTACCCCGAGTATTATCATAGATGCTTTCCTTGGCTATTTCCTGCTTGAAAGTTCGATAAATCTCTAGTGCGGACATCTTAATCATGTCCATTTTCCACATATCGGTCTGAGCTTCCTTCACCTTCTTCTTAACCGATAATTCATTTTGGTTTGGCCCCCTGCTGTTTTCCAAGTGTTTACCAGTCAATTTTCTGGTTTGCTTCCGCCATTTTGTATCGACATTCTTCATGTACAAGTAGCTGAATACCTTCCTAGCCCAACGCTCCTCCCCATTTCTCTCAATCGCTTCTCAAATTTTATCTTGCTGCTAGCTTCCCTGCCCTCAAATGGTGTACATCCCATTTCACCTTGTACTCTCTGATTTGGTGTATTCCCGTGAGCTCCTAAGGCAAGCCTACCTATTCAACGTTGCTTAATTTCTAATCTTGCTTGAACTTCTGATCTCATGCACAAGACCACATTGCCGAACGTCAGACCAGGAACCATGACCCCTTTCCATATTCCTCTCACAACATCATACCTATTGTAATTCCACAGTGCCCTGTTTTTCATTACCGCTGCATTCCTGTTACCTTTAGTCGAGACGTATATTTCGTGTTTTCTTAGGTACTCGACCCCATTGTTTATACATACGCCCAGATATTTGTATTTATCTGTTATCTCTAGCGTGTTCTGTATTCTAAGCTTACTACCTTCGTTGTCATTGAAAATCATGACTGCTGATTTTTCCTTACTGAATCTGAAATCTAAACTCTCTTCCTCATTAGCGCAGATGTCCACCAATCTCTGCAAATCTTCTTTGTTGTCGGCCATTAGCACTATATCATCTGCGTACATCAATGCTGGTAGTGCCTGTTCAATGAGTTTTCCTTGTTTGACGAAAGAGAGGTTGAAGCCCAGTACACTTCCCTCTAATTTGGCCTCTAATCCTTGTAGGTACATCATGAATAACAAGGGTGACAGAGAACACCCCTGCCTAAACCCCCGTTTCATCTCTCTGGGCTTAGATACCTGTTTTTACCACTTTATAACTACCTTGTTACTTTTATAGATCTCCTTTAAAAAATTAGTGACTACATCTTCACGCCTAGTGTGTCCAGTATTCCCCACAATTCCTCTTGAACCACGCTATCGTACGCTCCCTTGATATACAAAAATGCTAGCCACAGGGGCCTGTGTTCCTTTTCTGCTATTTCGATGCATTGCGTCAGTGATAACAGATTGTCTTCCAACCTCTTGTGTTTCCGAAACCCATTCTGCAGTTCCCCCAGCACCCCCTCATCCTCTATCCATGCCTGCAGTCTCTCCTTTATAATCTGCAGCGCCAGCCTGTAGTCCACTGATGTCAGTAGTTGTTGTTGATGGACAGTAGTTGTTTGTCAGCTTTGTCCCCTTTTCCTTTATAGATCATGCTCATCCTGATAAGTTTCCATCCATCGGGAACTTCACCATCGATTATTATTTTGCTCACTGCCTCTCTCAAAGCCTGCTTAGACTTCGGACCTAATGTCTTTATCAGCATAATTGGAATGCCATCTGGGCCTGTTGATGTACTACTAGGAACCCTTTTCTCAGCCCTTTCCCACTCTCGTTGTGAAAATGGAGCCATTGCACCACTTGATTCGTCCTTGTCTATTGTGGTGCATAAAGCACTTCTGTGTTGAAATTTTTCTGTCACCCTTGTTCTTATATATTCAATAGCTTCGTCCCCTTCTAGCCTAGCACCTTGAGCTGTAGTTATAAACCTCTGTTCTAGGCTCGTCTCATTTCTTAGAGAGTTTACATGGTTCCAAAAGTTCGCAGCTGTCTTTCTATCTTTTTTATGTACTTCTGCCAGCCACTGGGCTCCCTTTCGTCTAATCTTTTCATTGATCAGAAGGGATGCATCCCTCCTACAGCTTCGAAAGGCACTGAGGCACTTACGCCATCTTACGCGTGACTGAGGCACTTACGCCATCTATGAGTGTACCTGGAAACCAGAACATTGCATGTGACGTGGACATTCGTCTGTCGTCGGGCCCAACTTTAGAACTGCTCCCCTGTTAAAATAACACTTCAAGTGAACCTTTAGAACTTTCTGAGAATGTGATGGCATACATGGACGTTATTTTTATGCACTGTCGCAGCTTGAGCAAATGTGCTCAATTCTCTGATGCACGGCCACTATCAATACAGGAGCATGTACGGATTTGGCATTTTACAACAGGCAATGTGTGAAAGCGACACCGAATGCTTCATTTCACTTCACAAATCATGATGTAATGCATCTTAGTGTGAACACCGGGCGCCCACTTGGGGTTGCTGTAGATAGTGCGCTCTATAGCGGTGCGAATCCAGGCGAATGGGATACGTCGTTATAAGTGAAATATATGTGCCGTGGGTATTAAAGTGCGTACCTAGAGTGTTGAATTTTAAGTAGTGCGAATAAAAGATGCAGTTAAGGGGTACAGTTGGCGTGAGATGTATTCGTTACTACTTGATGAAGTTTGTTTTGCAGGTGGAATTAAATAGCGCATCAGCGCATCCTCAGTAAATTGCAAGTTATTAAAGGCGGAAGTGATTTCAAAGCCTACATGCACACTTCAATGCAAGTGATCATAGTACAGTCTGGATTCCATACCCCATTGGTACTAGGTAAAATATACCATTTCCGAAAGCGCTACTGACGTTTACATAACGGTTTTTAGCAGTCAATAAAACGTATATGATTGTCAATGGCAATTTCTCCGGAGCATGACAGAGTTTAACCATTACTTTGTAATGCCTCGAAGAAATTCTGTCATATGTTTGACGGGGCATCAGCACTAAGTTTGGCATTACTCTTCAAGAGCATATCAGCGAAACGTTCATCGTAATGCTCGTCATATGAGCAACCTCAGATCGGTAGAAGGTGGAAGTATGTTTTTGCTTTTAAATTCTTAGAATGAGCTAAACACCCCGAACTGTTTCACTAGAGAGATCACGCACATATATTTTGTCAGTGCATAGTACTTTATATTACGCCATGGGCCAGTTGTGGTTGAATAATGGCGAAAAAAATCACAAGCAGAACAAAATTCTGTGCCATTGAGGGAATTGCTTGCTAAGGCAAATTAATGCCTCGTTATCTATATCGAGGCTCTCCTTATTCGTGTGGCATATATGTTCATTTTTTGCGCACTCAACTTTTGTCGCACATGTAGTGATTGCAGAGGCTTTCCTAATATCTGTTGACATACGCGTTAGGAATTTTTGGTTATGCAGGGCGGCAGAATAATTTTCGTTTCGTCTGCTTATGTACACCTTCATTCTAAAACTAATTCAGTGCTGTGTCTGGTGAAGTTTTCATAGTTCATAAAAATGCATAGATTGAGAAAGACGAGCGTTTAAAAGAACATCAATACAACGTGAACAAAAAAGGCTGGGTTCCTTGATGCACACTGCTCCCACTGCAGTAATCAGCTGCAAGTGGCATGCATGCCCATTTTTCAGGAATGTTCAATTATTAGAAACAGCAGAAGACAGTTAACCCACGAAATGATCGAGGCTGAATTTATTGATATATGCTGGCAGATTAGAGTATCTTCAAACCGTCTATTGCACTTCCTTCTAAGGAGTTAGTAACCTCTCTACGAAAAAATAGCTCAATTTGAAGAGCGCTTCTAATGACCATGGTTGGAAAGCGATGTTGCATATATAAGCGTTTCCCTGGTTTAGAAATAAACATTGTTGCAAGTTAGCGCCGGCGTATGTCGCGTTTTTCTCAGTCAGTGTTTTTTCGTGGGATATCAAAACTTCAGTATGATACACCAATACGCCCTAAGTTCTACGTGGCTAAGCTTTGTCTGATACGCGGAAATTCAGGAAGCCACCTTCCGATTTTAAATTCAAGCCATTGTGGTACCTCCATGTGTTTTATAACTTCGGTCTCTATTCTGAGTTGGGTATATACTCGTCATAATGCTTTCGGTTCACGCTGAGTGCCTGGTTGAGAAACGGCGGGCTTAACTTATTAAGTCACTTAACTCATTGGGCATGCGATACTGTACGTCGCTCAAAAGTCACATGTTCACGAAAGTAGTTGACTCGAAAGACTGCTCTTGGCAAGCTAGCACGGCTTAGCGATGTACGTACCATGTTTGTTTCCAGAGTCTTAACCTAGCGAAATGCCTTTTGAAATGCCTTTTGAAATGTAGATTGCACGTTTGTGGTGTAAGCTGGCATAATCTGAGAACGGCGAAACATTTATTTTGTCATTGCACATCAAAATCACATTGCCTTCTCGCTTCTTTTTCAGCTGACGCTGGGTGCTGTGAGCATCTACAGCGCTGCAGTTGGAATGTCAACAAGTATGTCTCCTAACATTTCCTAATTCTAATTTACTAAGGAGGCACCAATTCTTGTGTCCACAAATTATCCGCAGAGCGACACTGCTATCTAAGCGTAAACGGACTCCGCAATCCCGAATATCAACGGCTATAGGAAGATGTGATTGTCCAATAAAGAGCGGCAGTTTTGCTAGAACGAGTGCTACGTTTCAGACCTGATTATTTTTTGTCAGTAATCAGGTGACCATCTCATCGATGCAACATTTGTCGCTTTTAGTATAATTCACGTTACCCAAGAAACAATTGTAGCTATATAGCTTCGATGAATTACGATACACCATCTGCGGGGCGCCTTCGATAAGGCATGTCCACCCAACACAGCCGTTTCCATTAAACACAAATATCAAGTGTCTTGGCCGCTGTAATATTACCTAGGAATTCTCGCTTTATATTTCTAAAATTTTCCCACTGTAGTGTGCTGTAGTTTTCAATCAACTAAGCTTTGAGTACGTTTTTAGCTTTTTATAAGTTCACTGTCTTTTCTGCATTTGGTTTCGTTTGTGCATTCACTGTGAAGCTGTGTATAATTCAGCCTTTTTGTGAAAAAATGAAAAATCTTTCACTATGGAGTCACTGGAGACAAGCTTTCGAAAAGTGGCTTTGTCTTTTTTTTTCTTCAAGGCAGCTTGCCGAGACCATATGTAAAATGACAATACCACTCGTAGAAACAATGTCCCTTGTGGGTCTTCAAGCTTGCTCCTTCCTGCGAACCTGTTTTTTAATCAGCTTTTCCATGATCTCTCACGGTAATTCTTGTATTGAATAGCATTCGAGCCGGTTTTACAGGGAGCACCAACTAGTTGATAAAATTATTAAACTTACAACAAACATTCGAAGTTTAAAGAACAACCGACAGCAAGTAAAACATGTGTGAAGTTAGCAGTGAGTAATTTTTATGGAAGCTTAATTTGTTTCTGAACATATCTTGTTTTCTATAGTTGCTGGTTTTCTGGTAAAGGAAGTGTGCTGTTGCTACGGGCACATGCGATAAGAGTTAACCGATCTTTGTAGGATGCTAATTTCTAGCTGTTTTCACTTTATGGAAACAATTCTTACACGCCCCAACCATACCTCTACATAAACCACATAGAACAAATCTCGAAACATACGAAGAAGCTTTTCATTAATTTACGTAGAAAACGAAGGCCTTTTAACAGAATGTGTCTGAGCATCACATATTGATAACGCCGTAGCAATAAAACAGCATCTTGTTTCAGGTTTCTCTTCTAAATGAGATGTCTAAATGAGTTGTCACTGCTAAACTCAAGCACCTTAACAAGTGTAAAGCAACCATAACAAAAGGAGACGACATGTTAACAGGAAGGACGCTAGATTTCAACTGAAAGTTTCCGGATCCAAAACAATGGCAATGAGCATGCACGCACAGAACGCGTGCAGATGGTGCAGCTAACACAGACGACTGCAATATCACTTCACATAAGCTTTTTTTTTCTTGGCGTACCATGGCAGTGTATGTGTTGACACATATATCTGGCTCTAAGCTGATGGAGAAAGCCTCATAAATTTCACGAGCCTGCTGAGCAGCAATGTTTCGCAAAGCAGAAGGACCATTAAATTCCGGCATGCCAGAACACATGTGGCTGTGATCTACCAAATGTATAAATACCGTCAATGAATTGACAGCTTCATTATCGGATAGGTACATTACGCTTGCGTGTGGAATGTGCTACGTCTCCGCTATGTCTGGTGCGTGCAACGTTGGACACTTTGAAGATCACTGCATCAGGTGTTATTGCATGCCCGACTTCAAGGGCACCCATGTATTGCAATGCCATGTACGACAAGGGAAAGGCTTACCTGATGCAGCATTGCAGTTACCTGAGTTAGCAGAACCGTATGCATTCTTTGGGGGTTGTTGTTCACGTATGTTCATGGCCATTGTTTTGCGCTTGTAAACATTGCGTTCATCTCTTGCGCCTGCCCCACGCATGTCCTGCAGTGCCCCTTCGTTCTGTTATCGCTGATGCGCGCTCGTTGTGATGCATCAGTATCAGTTCAGTTACTAACGACTAGTCGCAACCTTTCCGTCTATTGCCATTACCACTGCACTTATTACATGTTCTAGAACAGAAACGTTGCAAGCTAAGTCCTTAATGAAACTCGCAGGAAAGTTTGTCGAAGGCGTTGAGGATAGTTGCTTCAAACTGTTAATTTATTAATTGTGGGGGTATAACGTCCCAAAACACCACATGATTATGAGACGCTGTAGTGGAGGGCTCCGGAAATTCGCAGCACCTGGGGTTCTTTAACATGCACCTGAATCTAAGCACACGGGCCTAAGGCGTTCTCGCCTTCATCGAAAATGTACCCCGCCGCGGTGGTCTAGTGGCTAAGGTACTCGGCTGCTGACCCGCAGGTCGCGGGATCGAATCCCGGCTGCAACGGCTGCATTTCCGATGGAGACGGAAATGTTGTATGCCCATGCGCTCAGATTTGGGTGCACGTTAAAGAACATCAGGTTCTGCGAATTTCCGGAGCCCTCTACTACGGCGTCTCTCATAATCGTATGGTGGTTTTGAGACGTTAAACCCCACATGTCGATCAATCAATCCATCGAAAATGTGGTCGCCGTGGCCGGGATTCAATCCCGTGACCTGCGGGTCATCAGCCGAGCGCCTTAGCCACTAGACCACCATGGCGGATTACGCTTCAAACTTTTGCATCATTTGCAGCAGTTTCTTCACGCCTTCGTTTCGCCGTCCCCTTTAAAATAAAAGTACGAGGGGGTATCCTATTATTAACCATTTCAGGTGGTACAAATGAAATTGTGAATACGACCCTTAACGAAAACTTCTTTCCATTCAGTAAAACGTTGCAGTTTGTTTGAAAAGTAAGGTGCATAAGTTTTTATAGCCCACATGTAAGCAATAGTTGTAAGTGCTATTTCCAACTCCGTTTTTTTTCGCAAGTGATAGGGGTACCCCTCTTCGTGTGCAACGTGATGATCGGCGTACTCGGAACTACCTACACAGCACTGGTAAGCACCAAAAGCTTGACTCTTCCATGCATCGCGTCGTTATACAACTAGTTCCGAAGCCATACAAGTGTTACAACTACAACTAGTTACTGATACAAGCCATACAACTAGTTCCGAAGTATACTTACAAGTGTTTTCCTCTCTTTCTGAAAAATTTTTTGATAAACAGAATGCATTTCTTTTTTTTGTCGGAATACGTGAACAAATGGTTTGCTTGATACATGTGTGGGTGCAGCACCCTAATATTATATTGCCGCGTAGCCTCCGATTCAATTTCTTTACGCTCGGCGTGACCTGGCATGCATGCTGCATCACCTTCCGATAAGCCACAGTGTCATGGCAGCATCACGACAGATATGCGCCGTCGGCGGTGGCTATAAAACAAGCTGCCGAGATTGCAAGTGCCTTACTTTGCTATTTCTATTTAGGCGTTCATAGCGTCGGTATGCTCTAACGCTGTTGCTACCAACCAAATAAACAGTCGTGTTTTCATGTCTGGATTCATCTTTTCCCCAACTCGGCATTCCCACGTCTGGTGACCCGGAAAACAAGCAGTAACGCACCACTATGGCCAAGAAAGAGGCACTACAAGAACTGTGTAAACTACTGCAGAGAAAGCTATGCACTCAGCACGAGTTTGTCTAAAAACAAGGGTTGTAGCTCTGGTAATGGCCGCACCAACTTGAACATTCCGTGCAGCAGCACTCTGGCGACGACTCCTCAACACTCGCCCGGCCTCCACTGAGAATGTCAGAACCTGTAGACTTGGCATCTGGAGGGTCGCTATAGAGCTTCCGCCATTTTGGAGGGACTAACCCGATGTATGGTTCACCCAAGTTGATACCCGACTCCACCTGGCATGCACCATACAATAACGAACGCGTCAACAAGACCCATGATGTCCTTGCCAACCCACCAACGGCCAACCTCAAGAGCACACTATTACGGCATCTCTCAGACTTTTTCAGACGACCAGAAGGAGTGACAACTTCGGTCAGCCGAACTTGCCGAGCGCAAGCCTTCGCAGTTTCTCCCCCAGATTTCTCAGTTCAGCGTCACATGGCCATATGCTGCATTGCATTTCGATAAGCCACAGGGTCACCGCAGAATCACCACATATGTGCGACGCCAATGGTGGCTGCTAAAACAGGCTGCTGAGATGCAAGTACCTTCATTCGCTACCCACACACGCGTAGCGTAGCAGCGTCGGTATGCTCACCCGCCGCTGGTACTAACAGTTATGTTCTCAAGTTGACATTCGCCGTTCTAGCATGTCCACGGAGTGAATAATGAGGAGTGGGCCGAAGCGTCCTACATTCATCCATATGTCTGTCTGGCTGTCCGTCCGTCAACTCGCTCCTATCACACTTTCTCCAATCTTTCTCCGTCCCGTTTTTAGCGCTGTTCCCCTAAGTATTATGTACCAACTAGCCCTTCAAGAAACCCGTCTGCAATGTATCACACTAAAGCACGCATCGGATGGACGGACGGGTAAACGGACGCTTCGCCCCACTCATCATCCTTCACTCCATGGATATCCTGTGAATTCTCTATATAACAGCGTCATCTATCCTCTTTAATTGCCAACTATACGAAAAATACTACTAACGCCTTCCAATGATATTGTCACGGGGGTGAGAGAACGAACGAAATAAATATATGTACAAAATATACAGGGAGAGTCAGAGGCAGCTGCAGCCAAGATGGAGGTACAACAGCAACAACAACACGTGCGCGGTCGCTTTCATCGTCTTCGTCGTCTACCTGATGCTCTCTCGTTGCCGATGTCGTGTAACATATAACCCCCCGCCACCGGCAGCGCCATCTCGGCGCCTAAAGAAGAGTAGGATCATATGCGAAGATGTATGGTTTCAGGCGGGTCACGTGGACGACGTCAGTAGTGGGTGCGGATGACGACGACAGACTGCCCAACGGAGAAATCTCGTACGTGACCTCGGTAAGCCGGCGTAAAACCTTGTAAGGCACCGAATAGCGAGACAGGAGCTTCGAAAAGAGGGCAACGAGGCGGCATGGTGTCCAGAGGAGGACCAGTGAACCTGGAGAGCAGGAAACTACTATGTGATGGCTGTCGTAGCGGGCCTTCTGAGAGAGATGCGAGCCGAGAAGACGTTCCTGTGCGATTTGGCGGGCCACTTTAGCCCGAGCAGTGGCATCCAGGGAGTACTCTGTAACCATTTGCGGAGTTGATGGGCGAAGAGTCTCGAAGAGTAACGCTGGATGGCGGCCAAACAATAAATAGAAGAGGGAGAAGCCAGTGGTGTCGTGGCGTGACGAATTGTGTGTGAATGTCACATAAGGCAAAGTACTATCCCAATCAAGGTGATTTTCGGAAACGTACATGGAGAGCATTGTTGTCAATGTTCGATTTAGGCGCTCGGTAAGGCCATTTGTTTGTGGGTGATAGGCCGTAGTGAGCTTGGGACGCGTCGAACACGGGCGAAGGATGTCACTACTTTTGAAAGAAATGAGTGACCATGATCGGTCAGCAGCTGTCGAGGAGCGCCATTGTGAAGAATTACGTCATGAAGCAAGAATTCCGTGACGCCAGTGGCACAGCTTGTCGGTAGCGCCCGTGTGATAGCGTATCTTGTGGCGTAATCAGTCGCTACGGCTATCCACTTGTTTCCAGTGAGAAAAGTAGGAAACTGATCAACGAGAACAGGACCGAAGCGGTAGAAGGAGATGGTGGGTAAGTCTATTGGTTGGAGTGGACCAGCTGGTGGCAAGGTGGAATGTTTGGAGCGCTGGCAGGACTCACAAGCAGCAACGTATCGGCGCACAGAACGGTAAAGGCCTGGCCAGAAGAATCTACGCCGCCAAGGGCATATACACACAACGTTATCAAGGGAGCAATTCTTAAAACTAATTAGAAGTGGCTACTACAACATACTACGAGGGAACGACACACATCCTAAGGAACTTCATCACTAAAAATGCAGGTGCAACTAAACAGATAACATGAGGGTAAGTGTCAGTCCTGTATTAACAAGGACGGGTCGTCTGAGTGTCAACATTTACGATATGGTTGCCTCAACTTCACTCCAAGATAAGTTACTGGTTTGCAGAATATGGGCACCCATACCTTGTATGAACAACTAAGGACCAGCTTAGCTCAGAACCAGATTTTTCAGCAATTCGAAATTTCTATTATCCATGATGTTTGTTGGTCAGTAGTATTTTTTGTGTGCTACTGATAGGTTTAGAATTGCGCAATAAAATGTATGACTTTTACTACAAAACGCTGCCGATATTTATTATAGGCACACTTGTTACTTAAAGGGGCCTTTATTGATGAGCATACGTGGAAAAAAAGTTTGCAAGGGAGGCACTGATCATGCGCCATCATAGCACTGATAGCAGTGAGTTCATTATGGCACCATGCGATTATGTTTAACGATCGCAAGCAATCATAACGACTTCAAGTCACTTAGTTTAATCAGAAGGTTATTCCACTCGCGAAAACTTGATACGCAAGCGTTTTATCTATGATTTGTCTTCCAGCATCAAATGGCAATTGTATGAACTGTTTACTTCGTGATGGCAAATTGTATTAATAATACTATCTATTCGATACCACAGGGTGGTCTTCGAGGTGTCGTTTGGGCGGACTGCATTCAGGGAATTGTGCTCTTCACATCGCCATTCATTATTATTGCGAAAATATTGTACGACTCCATAAGCTTGGATCGACCTCTGAGGCCTCTGAGTGACTTTGACAGCAAGGAGCGCTTGTTTAAGTGAGTACCCAAATAAACATTCTACACTGCTCCATGCGAATGCGAATGTGAGTAGTGAGTAAACCTTTAAATGCTCACTTCAGGCCCTGAAATGAAGTATGGTATACCATGCGCGAAATCCTAAGCACCGAGACCCGGCATTAAAACCCGCTACGGTGTGCTTGCGGTTATAATGCTGTCACGGACGGCCATTTTTGGCGACACCGCGTCACGGCAATTAACGGGCACCGTACTCCCCCACTGACCGTGAGAGCGGTGGGCGCATGAATGGGAGCCGAGAAGTGCAGAATGGGGTGCTCTTCTTGGAACGTCGCCGCCGACGGTTAATCCTTTTGTAACTGTGGCGGCGTCTGCAAGGTCGTAGAAGGCCGCGGTATACCCCGAACAAGTATTAGACTACGAGACGCACCGGCTGATAGCCAAACGTTTGACCTTTCCCACGGGGAAAAGCGTGGGATACGCTCTGGTGGCCAAGCCGTATGACAACAACCCGACAGGTTGTCACTCTCGCTAGTTGAGGGCCCTCTCCCAATTAAAAAGGGGTGGGGTCAAAATATTTTTGGCGCGGAGTTTCCATCAATTAAACGCGCATGATTAGACCCATGTAGAGGTCTCTTGTCCCCAAGGGAAAGAGCGAGGAGACACGAGGGGGATTTAAGCGCAGGATTTTGCCCTGCTAGGCAGACTAGTCGCTGACCAACATGGTGTAGAAACAGATCAACAAGCATCTCTTCTAGAAGTTTTTAGTGTGGCTCTGTATCGGCTGGCCACCTAAACTTAGCCGTTCGTCTAGTTGTGACGCGATATTAACGTCTGTAACGTAGACATCGGGACTTCGCCTCGAGTTAGCTCAACCTGCTCGAAGTCACCTGCAAGCACTAGCCTCCCGGAGCCACCAGCGTTGCAACACCACCGACATCGCAGTCGTGCCAGAACTCTCTTCGACTTCTCGCATCCGATCGTCGGGGACACAACGCTGCCGGTCATCACACGTAGGCCTTCACCTGTTTATATCTTCGAACTTTCTCCTGCGTAGTTCTATTGTTGTTAGTTTGTGTAGCTTGTAATAGTTCTCTCTCGTAAGCTGGTGTATTGTTTTGGTTTTATATATTTTTAGTTGTATCAAGTGTTGATGTATTTTGTTAGTTGTATTGAAGTATTGTATTAGATCCCGTGTGCTGCAATATCACTAGAGTAAAGTTGTTTTGTTTTCTCACGTCTCTGATCTCTTCACTGTCCCTGCTTGCGTACGGAACGAACCAACCTGCTGTCATTCCCGTCGCCGACTTCGCGCTGGCGACGCTAGAGTGGCAGCTTGTAACAAATGCTCACCCGAAGGTCCTCGGTTTGAATCCCAGGTGCAGCAGTCGCATTTTTGATAGAGGCAAAAATGCGTCAGGCCCATGCACACTTACATGTAGGTGCGTGTTGATAACCCCACGTGGTCTAAATTTCCTGAGCCTTTCACTGTAGCATGCCTCATTCATTTCGTGTTTTGTAACTTTCAATCCCAACACTTATATGAATCACATCATTGAAAATTCTAGCGTGTCACATTGTTACAGGGAATAAAGTATACACAATGGATATACTGGCGAGCAAAATGCGTACAACGCTGCTGCAGTCCGAGCACGTTCCCCAGAGCACTTCGTCGTCGTCAACCTCGGGCACCTACTTAGCCCGTGACATTACCCGCCGGTGGCAGAAGCACCGTCCCGGTGCGATGAATTCTCGGGGCGTGAGTAGCATGGTTTAAGCCGTGAGACGTGCACTATACCGGTCGGGACTGAAGCTGGTACTGACGCGGTATGGAGTGGAGCTATCTCATAGGTCACGCTGGTGACCTTGCGTACGACGCGATATGGGCCAACGTAACGGGACATCAGTTTTTTGCAGAGACCAACACGACGCGATGGTAACCACAGCAAGACGAGCGACCCCGGAGAGTACTGTACGTCGCGGGGCCGGCGATCGTAAGCACTCTTTTGTTTAAGCTGCGAGGCACATAAACGATCCCGGGCGACTTGGCGGGCGATGTCAGCTCGGGCCAGGGCATCACGAGCATAAGCAGTCGATGAGGGGGCTTTTCAGATCGGATCATGGTGTCCATGGGCAAAGGCGGGTCATAACCAAACAGTAGGTAAAAAGGCGAAACTCCAGCTGAATCGTGACGTGAACTGTAGTATGCTAAGGTAACGAAAGGTAAGTGGATGTCCCAATCTTTGTGATCCTTGGAGACGTACATCGCTAACATAATCGTCAGGGTACGGTTGAGGCATTCCGTGAGGCCGTCGGTTTGTGGGTGGTACGCTGTAGTGAACTTGTGGTGGGTAGAGCAGGATCGCAGGAGCTCGTCGACTGCTTTAGATAGAAAACAGCAGCTGCGGTCGGTGATCAACTGACGAGGAGCACCATGACGCAGAACGATGTCATGAAGAAGAAAATTGACTACATCAGTAGCGCAGCTGGTGGGAAGGGCGCGTGTAACGGCATACCGCGTTGCGTAGTCGGTAGCAATAGCAATCCACTTATTACCGGTGGCCGACACAGGAAAAGGTCCTAGAAGATCGAGGCCGACTCGGAAAAATGGCTCATCTGGTACTTCAATGGGCTGGAGGGTACCAGCAGGTCTCAGAGCAGGTGTCTTGCGGCGCTGGCAGAGGTCGCATGCCGCAACGTACTGTCGCACAGAAAGGTAGAGGCCAGGCCAAAAGAATCGGCGGCGAACGCGGTCATACGTGCGTGACACCCCTAGGTGCCCAGCGGAGGGGGCATCATGGAGCTGGGCCAAAACATCTGAGCGAAGATGCGCAGGAACAACGAGTAAAAGCTCAGCACCATCTGGGCGGGCGTTGTAGCGGTGCAAGATGTCGTTGTGAAGAACGAACAGTTGTAAGGAGTGGTCAGGGTGAGGGGAGTGCAGACCATTGATAATAGCACGCAAAGAGGGGTCGCGGCGTTGTTCAGCAGCTACGTCGGTGAAGTCGGTAATTGAAAGAACGAGTACCTCTTGTCCATCTTCCATCATGCCAGGGGAATCGACTGGGTAACGAAACAAGCAGTCGGCATCCTTGTGAAGTTGTCCGGATTTATAGGATACGGAAAAAGTGTACTCTTGTAAGCGCAGCGCCCAGCGACCAAGGCGTCCCGTAGGGTCCTTGAGTGAGGAGAGCCAGCAAAGCGCATGGTGGTCCGTAATAACTGAGAATGGTCGGCCATAGAGGTACGGTCGGAATTTCGCAATTGCCCAGACGAGAGCTAAGCACTCGCGTTCTGTGATCGAATAATTTTGTTCCGAGCGTGACAACAGTCGGCTTGCGTACGCGACGACGCGGTGCATTCCTTGTTGCCGCTGCGCCAGCACTGCGCCTATGCCGTGGCCACTGGCGTCAGTACGAAGCTCCGTGGCGGCAGATGGGTCGAAGTTTGCTAGGACTGGTGGATTGGTGAGAATCTCAACGAGCGACTAGAAGGCGTTTGCTTGCTGTTGGCCCCAGGTGAATGCGACATCGATTTTGAGGAGGCCAGTTAGAGGACAGGCTACGTCAGCAAACTTCTCGACAAAACGACGGAAATAGGAGCACAGTCCCAGAAAACTTCGGACGTCCTTGGCTGAGCGGAGTGTGGGGAAGTCGCGAACTGCTCGGACTTTCGCAGGGTCTGGTTGAACGCCCACAGCGTCAACAAGATGGCCGAGTACGCAGATTTGGCGTTGCCCAAAGCGACAATTAGACGAGTTAAGTTGCAAGTTGGCACGTCGGAAAACATCAAGCACTTAGGACAGACGGGTAACATGGTCGTCGAAAGTAGTCGAAAAAACAATAACGTCGTCAAGATAGCAGAGGCAGATGGTCCGCTTCATGCCTCGAAGGAGAGAGTCCATCATGCGCTCAAAAGTCGCAGGGGCATTGCATAATCCAAAAGGCATCATCTTGAACTGATAAAGTCCATCAGGAGTCACGAAGGCCGTCTTCTCTCTGTCTTTGTCGTCCACAGCAATCTGCCAGTAGCCTGACCGAAGGTCTATTGAAGAGAAATATTTGGCACCGTGTAAGCAATCGAGTGCATCATCTATGCGCGGTAGGGGATAAACATCTTTCTTGGTAATATGGTTGAGATGGCGGTAATCAACACAAAATCTCCAGCTATTGTCCTTCTTTTTAACAAGTACAACGGGTCAAGACCAGGGACTAAATGATGGTTCTATTATGCCCTTATGAAGCATTTTATCGACTTCTTGCTGTATAATAGGACGCTCCGGGGCTGACACACGGTAGGGCCGTCGGCGAATGGGCCGAGCGTCACCGGTGTCGATGCGATGAGTTACCAAGGATGTCTGGCCCAAATTACGGTCGCCGAAGTCACAGATCCCCCGATAAGAAGCAAACACACGGCAGAGAGCAGAGACTTGTTCAGAGGTGAGCTTGTCAGATAGCATTGGCTTGAAAAGGTCGGAACAGGAACGTGACGAGAGCGACGTTGATGGAAAATCGGGTGATGGATCGGTGGTTAGGGCGGAAACTGTGTGGCCGACCAGTGGTGTCAGATGCGCAAGTGACATGCCGCGAGGAATAACGTGCACTGAGAAGCCAAAATTGAGGACGGGAAATGAAGTTCGGTTGTCCTTGACGGTAACCACCGTGTTGGGTAGTGCAACATTACGTGTCATGGCCACGTCAGAAATTGGGGCAGCAACATAATCGCCATCGGGTACTGGAGGATATGGCGAGAGTTGGACTTGGATTGCGGCTTGCGGCGGAAGTCTGAGGAAATTGACAGAGCGTAGACGAGGTGGGCTGGTAGAGACGGTCTCTGAGAAGGATGGTAGTTCGAGCCGAAGAAGACCTTTTGAACAGTCAATGAGCGCAGCGTGTGAAGTCAGAAAGTCGAGTCCAAGGATGAGGTCATGCAGGCAATTTTTCAGTACAGCAAACAGAACTGAAGTTTGATGCTCAGAAATTGTTATTCGCGCAGTGCACATTCCAAGGACAGCAGGAGTATTCCCATCCGCTGTACGAACGGTAGGTGCAATCGCAGGTGTCAGAACTTTTTGGAGGCGGCGGCGGAGGTCTGAGCTCATCACAGGTATTTGCGCACCGGTATCAATAAGAGCAGTTACACGTAAACCATCAACGAGAATTGTGAGAAGGTTGCACCGCTGGTCGGGAGTAGTCAGAGGATTTGCAGTCCGAGTCGTGTATGCAGCGTCACCTCCGGGGGCTGCACCGGCTAGTTTTCCGAGTGACGGTCGTAGGGAGACCGAGAACGGCGGGGTTGGGGCGAGCGGGACTGATGACGCACGGGCCATGGCGAGCGGCTGGTCCGACGTTCTGAATTATGCTCTGCGCCTGTCTCTGCACGGTAGGACGGGGCATAAGGTGCACTTTCGGAGCGAGGTCCCCAATCGTAGAGTCTCGGTTGAGGTGATGAGGTCCAACGGCTACGGCAATGGCGAGCGATGTGTCCTATCCGATGGCACGTGAAACATATGTGCCGATCATCATGAGGGCGCCATTCAGCTGGGTTTCGTCTTGGCGCGAACGTGCGGTTCGGAGTGGCAGCCGCAACGACTGGAGCCGAGCTGGAAGTAGCAGGGGCATTTTGATGAGGTGGCGAAATGCCCATATTCGCGATCTCTTGGCGAACCACGGCCTGTATCATTGAAACAGCATCGAGGTTGTGTCCTGGCGCGCTGACGCTAGACATAGCGGGTGCCATAGCCTCGAGTTCCCGACGGATTGTTCTGGTGACGTTTTCCGGCGCTGGTGGTTGATGTAGTGTGGGCAAATCTTCGCAAGAGGACGTAGCAGCCGTGTTGGGAAGGCGTTCAAATCGGTGAACTATGCGCCTACTTTTCGCCTGTTCGAAGCGACGACATGCTTCAATGACCGACTCTACCGTCGAGCAGTCCTTGCACAGCAGAGAATTGAAAGCGTCATCGGCAATTCCTTTCAGGATGTGTCCAACTTTGTCCTCGTCGAGCATGTCCTTGTCGACCTTGCGGCACAAAGCCAACACGTCCTGGATGTACGCGATGTACGGCTCTGTGGATGTCTGGGCACGAGTCGCAAGCTCTTTCTTTGCGGCCACTTGATGTCCGATGGGTTTCCCAAACAGATAGTGCAATTTCTGCTTACAGACGTCCCAGCTGGTCAACTCTTCTTGATGTGTCTCGTACCAGAGTTTTGCCGTGCCATGCAAGTAGAAGAGTATGTTCGCCAACATAAGCGTCGGATCCCAATGGTTGCTGCTGCTGACGCGCTCATATAGGACCAGCCAGTCGTCGACGTCTATGCCACTTGTGCCGTTGAATGGGCCTGGGTCACGAGGTTGCACCACAACGATCGGTTGCGGGGCTGACGGCTCTTGTTGACATTGAGTAGCCTGGTCAGTCATCGTGGTAGCTGCAATGCGCCGTCCGCTGCGAACATCCAGCTCGTTGGGCTGTATAGCGAGTGGTACCCCGCACCTCCTCCAATGATGTTACGGGGAATAAAGTATACACAATAGATATACTGGCGAGAAAAATGCGTACAACGCTGCTGCAGTCCGAGCACGTTTCCCAGAGCACTTCGTCGTCGTCAACCTCAGGCATCTACTTAACCCGTGACAATATGTAGGCATTTTTCTGTTTGCAAACATCTGCTTACCACTGCCGTCGTGCGCACCCCGATTTGGTGAGTTTGGGGCGGGAGCTCCTTTCAATTTTGAGCTAAGTTAGTCATTAGGAAGTGATACATTGACTCAGTTAATTTAATGAGGGTATTAAATGCGGATTGCACTGAGGCACACCCGGCTGCAAACAATTACAGGGTGTGGATTTCACTGGAAATGCAAATTTCTGCCACAAGGCAACATTATTATAGAGCACTCTGTTGGTCGAAAAAATTACTGTAGGCTCCAACATTTAGTTGGCGACTATGTACACAGTAAAACATTCAATATAACTTTCTCAAAAGTTTCGCGTACTGCAGACGTTTGCCTGACGGTATACACCATAAACTATCGTCATTAATTATGTGCCATTCCATTCTTTGGTTCCCCCACTGCGCCACCAGTTTTGAAGCGGATTCCAGCTGCGACGAAACAGTGTGGGCCCACGCGGTGGCCACTGTTCCTTTCCACCTGGTTCGTGAAGGCATGGACCAAATGGTCGTCCAAAGATTCCTGGCTGCGAGAAGCATCAGAAGTGCTCGCAGGTTGGACAACCCTTTCACCTGCTGATTTCGCCACTTATTGTACTAAGAGTCGTTTCTTTGATAATCGCAGCATCATTCGAAAGACCTTTGTCTAGATTCGATGCTTTGATTACTGAAGTCCCTATTGTCACAGCAAATTGACAGTATACGTGTGGTCATGCACATCGGCACGTTGACTTGATTGTTGGCAGGGTTGTGTGGGCCGGAAGCACCCTGGTGGCATTCTTCATACTGACCATATCTATGACGAGCTTGGCCCTCACCTACTGGTACCGGGACTGTGATCCCATGTTGACTGGCACTATCACGCGCTACGATCAGGTGAGCCTCACTTAGAGCGTCTGTTTCTTGCCGATATTCTGTCCCACTATGAAGAGCGCGTTTACGTACACGATAATTAATTCGTAAACGTGCTGGTGTACGTCAGCGTAGCGATGCAGGTTTACATACCTTCTAGTTTTGTTTTTCTTACTAGGGGCTAAGCTCCTTAGGGTTGAGCTATATCCGCCATCGTTCCTTTGTTGATGATCACGTTGATGAAGAACAAGCTCGTTGATGAACGACGACCACCGCCGTTAGACAAGACGCACGCAAACGGAGCAAGCGTTTAAAAGCATTACTCAAGTCCGGCGGAGGATGTGGCCATCGCATTGGCGGTATCCCATTCTAACTGACAACTAATAGTCACAGACTCTCGAAGAGCATGTGAGAGCTATCTGGCAGTGTAAACCTCTCGGTTGGCTGATGGACTTTTAAAATTGAGTATCAGACACCGCGATACTACCCCAAAACGTATTATATGGACTCCTGGACATTAGGGTCTCCAGGGTAATGAGGCTGCGCATGCAATGGCCCGCGTGATTATTTCCCGGGAATCTCCCCGTTGCCCTGATGGATCTGAACGTCCCACACCTTTAACACGGTTTTGAGAAATCAAAGACATTACGCAATACCGCTTGTGTCCCGCACCAGTGAAAGGACTCTCGAAAACAGAGGAGCACGTCCTGTGGCGCCTACAGACAAACACGCCATTCTGTCCAGCCATACTCAATTATTACGACCCCAAAATAAGTAGGCAGTGTCAGTACTGTGGGTAAGTGGCGAATACTTACCATATTCTCTGGACCTGCCAAATAAATCCAAAATTAACCCCGATTCCCAACCCAACCAATGAGGATTGGAGGGTGACCCTACTACACACTAGAAGAACACACTAGAAGCTCTACACTAAAAGATTAGCAAACTCTGGTTCAGCGGGCTCGAGTGGTGGTTTCGACTAATGACGTCCCGGACTGAGGATGTCGACCAGCTTGGTGGGGATAAGGGCTATATGGCGCTGCCAGCTTCAATAAAGGTTCTTTCCTCTTCCCACCTCTTTAAAAGCATTGTGGAAGCTTGACAGTATATATCGGTCACCAAAGCGTTAGTGAAGTTATAGTGTCCTTTTATATGCCATTATACATTTTTATCAAACAGCATGCTCAACACACAGTGCCTGATTCAAACTTTTACTTCCAGTAGCGGTTAAAAAGCCAGTAACCAGGTTCCGACTTTTTTTACACCCCCCACATGCTCGGCATTTCATAGATTAGACTGCAGTGACCAAGTTTTCTGAATATTACAGCGCTGCGCGCCCCTCTATTTCGAAAAACAATTCCCGCGCATCTTTCTTACGCCTGACACACCCCCTTGCACGCGCAGTGACTTCAACTCGGTGATCGGTGACGTGACGTAGCACGCAGCTCGCCCAAGCACCTCGCCGATTGGTCTAAATCAGGTGTGAAAAAACAGTAGGGAAATCCACGTCAATTCCTCTTCCCACCCACAGCTACGAAACAGCCCCTTGTTTCTTGACACTGCGGTGAAATAAACAGCCTCGGAGTTTTCACGTGCACGTGTACACTCCTCGCTCAACTACAGCGCCTGTGCGCACGTACGAACGTACTTCGCCCTTGACATGAGCAACACTGGTAAAAAGCGTTGCTCTGTCGTCGGCTGCAAATGGAGTGACTGGGCATTGGCACCGGCTGCCTCACGATGGGGCCCTGCGCGCTGCATGGCTGAAGCGAATCGGCCATTCAGCGACGTACGTCAGGGACCTGATCGTTTGTGGTCGACACTTTACACCTGACGCTTACACGGTTGACCCGTGGCTGGTGCGGCAAACGGTAAACAACCATGGGCACGCTTCGCAGCAAGTGAAAGTGCGACTGATTGAGTTCGCCGATAACGTCAATCACTGACATGGTGTCACGTTGTCAAAGTAGGTGGAGTCCCGATTATGGCATTACGATAGTTATAGCGCGATAACAAAACGACGACACAGAGGCAAGAAGGACACAAAAGTCTCTGTGTCGTCGTTTTGTTCTCGCGCTATAACTATCGCCATGCCATACCAACTAGCCCAAGCTGCCACACTTTCCGATTATGGGATACGCCTTCCCCCTCGTGGAAAGAAGAAGGGGCGAGGCCGCGCGAAAATTTGAAACCAGCTTAGACCGACGTTTTAACCCATGTAACTTCCTTAATATAGCACGTATTCGCAAAATTCTTGTGGCAGCATGTTCGCAAAAAAAACTGCGCATATATCTCTTTTTTTTAACTTCTAGACCTCAGGGATGTTTACCGGTCCTTTAAGATACCTAGTTTTATTAAACTGTAGGGAGGTAAATGAAGATGGAAGCTTGCGATGAAAAATCCGTAAACATTGGCACAGGAATGCTGAATGCGCGGATATTGAAAAGTTGTAGCATTGATACTTGATATTGTTATAATAACTCACCACCTCGCTCAACCACAAGAAAAAGGACAAGTTGCACCCTTAGTTAAATACAAACCTCTCGTATAACGTACAGTTCTGAGCACTGAGTCGGAGGTGTCGTTCTGATCACACCGGCCACATTCTAATAAAAGTAGAATGCAGAAAGCCCCATCTATCGTGGAAGCTTGGGGCATAAGCTAATATCTCGAGCTGAAAAAATAATGTTCTTGAATATTCTGCGAAAACTTTTGTAAAATCTCCACAAAATTTACGACACAACTGATGTTAACACAAAATATGAGGCTCTAAATCTTCATTACAAATTGCTACCAGTGATTGCTCTGGAACCCACGTTTGTTTTAGTAATTTGTTATTTGTCGATGTCTATAGCACTTTTTTGGCTTTGATTTTATTAAAGTCTACTTTGAATATTCCAGTTGAATTTTCGGCATAACCATTTGAAATTCATTTGCAGCACGTAACACAGAACCAGCCAATAAGGACGAAAGGCGAGAAATGATTACACATCATTAAACTTTGCCTAGTTTTCTTGCGCGAATGCCTACAGTATATAAAAGACAGCAAACGATCTAATCACGTTCAAAACTGGAATCAGACATTCATAGTGCGTGGTGACGCCATACTGATAGTGAAAAGTGATATTGTCAATACTGAAGCAAGCAAGTACTATTGTCCTTTTATCATGCACGATTACTTGATTACTTATCAAGCTCAACCGTATTTCTCGCCAAGTGCCTGTTGTCAATCTAAATGTATGTGATTTTGAAACGGGGACCACGATGACAATGCAGAACGAAAAGAGATTGCGGCTTACCCTTAGAGCAGGTATCTCTAACACATGGCCCACTAGCTGCATGCTGCCTGCACATGACTCTCTTCGCCACAATTTGTTTAAAAAGTATGTTCGTCAGCACGCACAGGAATCGCTGCTCTAAAGCATTCTTGTCGTAAGTCATCCCATTTCGTCACGATGTATTGGAACATTAACGTGAAACAAAAACCGCAATTCGGAATAGGCGTCGACATTTAGGCATTTGGAGATTTTGATACGCAAATGTGGTTGCAATCCTGACACTGAATCTCCTTCAAAAATGGCCCATATAAGAGCTGTGGGACATGTTCATAATCAAAAGAGGTGCCCTCCCCCTCCCCACCGCTCCTACCATCTTCACTACCCTGAGAGAGAGAACACTTTATTGTGAAGGAGGGAGTTTGGCCAGCTGCGAAAATCGCTGACTAGCTACTCTGCCTGAAAAGGGGGATTGGGGACTGAAAAAAAGAAAAGAAGAAAGAGAAAAATATAAAGTGTTAAACTACAATAAAAAGGAACTAAAGCAGACTAAGATTTTTTTCTCTTGGGCCGGGACGTGTGATGACAGAGTGACGTAAGTGTTTTCAAGGAGCCTCCAAAGTAAGTCAAACTGACCGGTACTGTCTAAACATCTGAACAGATATTTTACTGCTAGCCTCTGTTGCGTAAGGCAGGCTAGAGGACCCAAGAAACAGTCGATAGACGAAGCTCTTTGGGTTAGCAGATGCCTGTAATGTTCGCAGAGCACACGCTCGTTCGGGCATGCACGGCACTCGAACAAACTGCTTGACGGTGGCCCGATCTCGAAAGAAAGTTTGAAACCTCTGCCCTAGAGTTTTATTTTTACACACTTGGTAAATAAAACTACCACTCTCCTGATATCACCTCTACGCTAGCTAGAATTTGTCTCCAAATTGTATACGGCAATGTTTTTATACTGAGCTTCTAGGTGTGAAATACATTCATTGCACTTGCGTAGGATCACTGCCCAAAATAATGTAGTATTTGTTAACGCTTTTCAGGTTGTTCCTCTGTATGTCACCGATAACTTGGCTGCTGTGGCGTGCCTGCGTGGTCTCTTTCTGGCAGGTCTCGTAGGAGCGTCCATTAGGTTCGTTTTCTGCAACTTTATGAGTGCACAAAATGCCAACTTTACCAGACTGCTTCTGTTGTACACCTACTGTCATACTTCTGGTTTCTTGATTGTTGTTTTTGTGCTGTTACGCTAAGTATCGTGTATGTATGCACTGGGGAGTTTTAACCAGACATTATTTTAGTGTCTATACTTTAGGGAGGCGATACTTACTGAAAAAACAGTGCGAAACAGAAATGAAACCTCAGACTTCCCTGAAGCATGCAGCAGACGCACAACGCCAGGCTTATCGCAAGTTGACATGCTGTCACCGCTTGCAAAGCTTCGACTAATGCTTGAAGCGCCCGCAAAGTCACGTATATTACAGACGATGGGTAAAGTACCATGTACAGCCGAGGATGGTAGAAGGTAAGTGTTGAGGACTTGTTTCCTTGTTTGAAAGAATTTTAATGAAAACCAGCAGATATTGCAGCCAAGGAAGGTATAGGAAGGTACCATTTTAAGTGTTTAGTGTGAGCAGAATATTCACTGCGTTTGTTCTTTATCCTCTTAACCTGTGCAACGACGGCGATACTCAGCGCCCCGTTCTCGGCTGAGTGTAAAAGAAGCGCATGAGTGGCGCCGCCTGCAGACAAATACATATCCGCACCTGCGTTTAAAGCATGCGATGCACCCAATCACATACGCGGGTTCTCGCCCGTGGTGTGGAGGACAGCCAACACTTGCTCACATTACATGGTAAGTTAAGGCGAGCCAAAATAATACGCCTCATATTTCGGTGAAAAAAAAATCACGATGGAGCAGTAGGTGACCTTGCTCGCCAGCGAGAAAAAGGGGGCCCAAGTGGCGCTCCTGCACCTGGCGCGGCGGCCTGTTGAGGCCAGTTGAGCCGTGGACTAGGGGCCCCTCCCACCTGTTTCTAACCCTTATTCCATTTTCTTTTTCTCTGTAATAAACAATTTTCCATCCATCTTAACCTGCACATAATCATCATCACATGTGAGCATCTTCTTTGTCTAAAAAGTTGGTCTGGTGGCTCCACTGAATAAATGGCATCGAGACCACAATATCCCCGCTGTCATGCAGCGTGGTGGAGGCTGCTGTTGATCCTCGAGTCCTCTCTGGCGTCTAGTTCTCATGCAGCTTCGTTCGGGGCACCGGTTGCTACGCCTGTCTGTTGCCATAGCCCAAGAGACGTTGTCTGGACCATCCGACATCCCCGCCCCACCAGCCATCTTCGTGTGGACTGTCACCTCCCGGCAGCGGGATCCACCTCTCTTCACTGGTCTCCCACGCGACGATGTCGAGGCGTGGCTGAAGAAGTATGGCATGGCGAGTGTGCGCAACCGATGGGACGTGCCCCAAGACTTTGTCACGTCGTCTTCTGTCTATCAGACGTCGCTAAAACGTATTTTAACCACGATGTCAATTCCTCTGTGTTGTCTGTCTTTACTCAACAAATCTGCTGAATTTTAGAACACTAAACCTCCACACTGAAGTCTTGAAGAGAAAGCGCGATGGCAGCCTACAACACCCGGGCGAGACGTAATTCTCGTAAATCGAAGAGGTCCTTTATCTTAGCCGGCGTATGTACTCGGCCATGTCCGAAGCTGACCGCGTTCGACACATCCTCAAAAGATTGGCCACGTCACATCCAACGCTCTGGCCGTCAAAAACCCTAGTAGCATTGATGATGTCATAACGATGTGCCAACATCTCAATGAACTTCAGGCCATCCGGTTGCATCCAGACGCCTGTGACACCCGGCCTTCCTCAGATGCGGATTTGCGTACCTTTATTCGAATTTTGATTCGTAAAGAGCTCCAAGCGCAAGGACTGTCATCTCCGCCTGCCCCTCAGCCTCGCTCCTCGTTTACTAGCCTACGCGACATTATCAAAGAGGAGCAGTCTTCCATGGCTTGCTCTCTCACGCTTGACAATCCGCTGCCGCCACCAACTCTTACTGCATCCTGTTCATGCTCAAATCATTCGCCTGTCCCACCTCCTCCAGCATTCTACGCCCCCTGGCGCTGATCTCGCCCAGTGTGCTATTATTGTGGCCTTCGATGCTATATCTTACGATATTTTTGCAAACACTACAGGATGAAGGCCGCGGCTACGACTTTCACGACGTCCTTTCCAGGTCAGTACGAGTAGCGCCGCCTTTCACCACGTCGCTTGGCCACCCGACGCACCTCGGACCTACCGCTTAGGATGCCCCCGCTCTCCTTCTTCTCCTCGGCGCTCAACAATGCCTCTACAACCGCTCGCCCCTGGCCCTGACGACCACTCGTAAAACTAGCTGGTGCAGTTTTTAGAGGGAAAACTGCATCACCTGGGAAAAAATGAATGCCTCCAAAAAGCCCAGCCGTATTGTTGTTAGTATATGCTGAAGGGTTGCCTATTGAAGCATTGGTGGACATGGGGCTGCTGTTTCTGCTGCTCATTCGACTCTGTGTTTTCGTCTACGTAAGGTAAACTTATAGTAGCACTGCCTCACGTATTGTAAATGACGCAACGATACAGCCATCAGCACAGTGCACTGTCCGAGTTACCATTGATGGCATCCGGCACCATATTCAGTTCTCCATGTTGAATTCCTGCGCATATCTGCTTAGCTAGAGATGGGACTTTTTTTCTGATGCTACTGCTTCTATCTCTTGTCGACAAAGTCTCGTACATATCCAAAAAACTGCCTGACGCTACCGATGCTGAATATTCGTCACGCCGCGCCTACGACCCACCGAAGATTCCGTAGTGCCACCTGGCCACGAGCAAGTTTTAACGACTGCCTCAAACTTCGTTGAGCATGGTGATGTTCTAGTCGCTTGAGCCCTTTCTATATCTGAAGGCCTTGCACTAACAACGAGTTTTATTCGTTTTGTAGTGTAGCATACGCACCAACGCGTATGCGCCTTCGGAAGACAACAAAAAGCCCGTGCTCTGCTTGCGCGAGAGTTTGTGCCGCCTTTGCCAGACTTGCCGTACGCCCACTTTCCGTTGCGACCTCGTTGCGACTTCTCTGCACGAATAAACATCATCACAGTTTCATTAACGGCACCACCTTTCTCGCTGTACGCAATGTCACAAGTGAGCGCATTCTGCTCCCCGAAGGCGTTGTTGTAGTTTGCGGCGCCGGCACACAACGTGTTTTTGTAGTAGCTGTGAATACTGGAGCGGCGCAACCAGGCTCACTTACAGATGCCACCCGTGCTACGGCTATCGCCAACGCATTCAGCAGGGACCTGACTTCATCCCAAGCAGAACTACTCGCGTTGTTGTCCACGCATCAATCTTCCCTCGACATTCATTCTTCTATTCTAGGACATACTTCAGCGGCAGCTCATCGCATGCTCACTGACGAAAGTTCTATTGTTCGTCGCTGACCATACCGGGTATCTTCTATCGAACATTAAATCATCTACAAGCACATGCTGAACCAAAACATTAACTGTCCCTCCCCTAGACCTTGGTCATCACCTGTTGTTCTCGTCCGAAAAAAGACTGCTCGGTGTGATTCGGCGTCGACTATCTTGCGCTGAACAAAATAACAAGGAAAGAGGCATATACCGTGCCTTGCATTGGTGATGCTTTGTATTCATTGCAAGGAGCAGAATATTTTTCCAGCCTTGACCTGCGTTCGAGTTACTGGCAAACTTGTATGCACGAGGATGATATGAAGAAACTGCCTTGCCACAACTGAAGGACTTTGCGAATTCAACGTGATGCCTTTCGGCCTCTGAAACGCGCTAGAAACCTTCGAACGAACGATGGACACTTCAATGCGGGGCCTCAAGTCGAAAAAAATGCGCTTGCGTTGCATTGATGACATCATCATAATTTTTTAACATTCGAACAATACTTCCAGCGCCTAGAGAAAGTTCTGAAGTGTCTCGCAGCTGCTCGTATCCAGCTGAATACAAAAAGTGCCACTTGGCAAGCAAAACTATTAAAGTACTTGAACATCTCGCCAGCAAAGACGGTATCGTGCCTGATCCCGTCAAGAGTGCTGCCACTGTTCGATTGCCGATGCCTCACCATTCCAAAAAATTCTTCAGCTTTTTTTTTGTCTCGCTTCGGCTTTCCACTTGTGTGGCCCAATACGTTGCTTTATGCTCACTCTGCCAGCGCCGCAAACGCCCCACGTCATCTCCATGAGAACCTCTAAAACCTCTTCCTTTTCGTGAGGCTCCACTTGAAGTAATTGGTATCGACCTTTACTGGCCGCTGCCAAGACCAGCAAGCAGAAAACGATGGATTCTCACTGCGGTCGATCACTTGACGAGCTACGCCGAAACAACTGCACAGCTACCTCCAGGATCCGCAGAGGACATTGCTACTCTTTAGGTGTGAAGCTCCTTATAGCGGCACCAGTTCGTCCCTCGTAGTCGTAGTAGTAGTGTGTAACCAGCCTTACATTTTGATCTCCAAGATGGTACCGTTGGGAGATTTCTTCTGTGCGTTGTTGAACAATAAAAAATTCGCAGCGTGCGCGTTAACTAAAAGCCGAATCCTCCTGTCTCTCATTCCCCCTTAGCGGCCATTGCCATGTACATTGAGCACTATCTGACAAGAAAGGGATGCTATGGTATAATCGCTGGGCGTAACCTCTTTGGTTTTAGAAAGGTTTAGCGAGTATTGGGCCGCAGTGCCATGAATACAGTGAACTAGTATGTACCATGAACTCGAGGTGGTTAAAGGTGGGATGTAGACACGAAGCGCAAGCCATAAGAAAGTGTGCGTGTGCCTCCTCTCGTTCAGTCCTTGGAATGTCTGCTGGATGGTGGTGCTTCTATATGAGGAATATACAATGAAAAGATGCGAGATGGTGGTACTTGGAGTGTTGAATAGGTGGACGAATGGACACACAGACAGATGCATGGACGGACGCACGGATGGCTGCATGACTGCATGGACGGATGGACGCATAGAGGGACGCAGGAGCGGATGCATGGACGAACGCAGGGACGGACGCACAGATGGACGTGTGGATGCACAAACAGACGCACGCACGGGCAGCCACACAGACGCACGCATGGACAGACTGAAGTAAGAACGAATGGATGGACGGATGCTTCGCCCCACTCTCCATCATTCACTTCGTGGATATGCTGCCATTTTTGGAAGCCATTTTGCTGCACGCCGCAACGTTCTTTTGAGAGACCTCGCCAAGGAATTTTTTTAGACTACTGGACGACGTTTTCCAATCATATAACACCACCCATAAGACGACCTCCAGCAACCATCTTTAAACTAATAGCCTCACTGAGTGCTTTCATCAAACTCTTTCCGATTTGATATCCTTGTATACCACACTGATCATACCAACTGAGATACTATCCTGTCATTCGTAACCTTTGCGTACACTACTTCTACGCAGCGCACCACCCCTTCTTCCTTGTCTGCAGCCGTCAACCGACATCTCCCCTCTACGTCTTTTTTTATGTCCTCGTCAATTCGTCGGCGCCATGGAGCAGCAACCTAATTTTTCGCCTTGCCGCTTGTCGCCACCGCTTCCGCCTAAATACCAAGGCAAGTCAGCAGGATCGAAAGACCCGCTACTATGAATTTCAACGCATCATTGAGTTTAATCCTGAACACGAAGTGCATGCTGCTGTAGACCCCAATGTGAGTCCCCGGTTTGCCTGAGAAGTTTCAGTCACGTTTTATTGGCCCCTACTCTGTTGTCCAGCGAACTTCTCCAATGAATTGTCGCGCAACCCCCGCTGACATGCCATCCCACAACCGTTGCTATGGCACGAAGACTGCCCACGTCTCGCGGTTAAAACCTTTCGCAAGACGTACACCACCAAAAAACAGCGGTCGGGTTGGCCGCTTCCACGCGAGGAGTAAGTTGGTGCGAGCACAATATTCACAGCGTTTGTTCTCCATCCTCTTCACCTATGCATAATCAACATCGCTGTGAGAATTTTCTTTTACCGAAGAATCGGTCTCGCAGCTCGGCTTAATAAATGGCAGGGAGAGCATATCACTGCGGTATAGCCGTAGTGATATTCAGGATGGAGGTTTGAAGAAAGTAAAAAGGGTGAATGGAGAACTTGTCGCCTGGGGAAAAGAACCTGGAACCTTGGGATAAGTCGCATGCATGCGCATAAATGTCTGGTAAAGCGGACGAGCGCACAGCCGTCACCGTCCACTCGTCGATCTAGCGCTTCATCCAATGGTTGCTGGTTTGGTACCTGCCGCACGACGTCTCTTCTCGTCCGCTTTACCTTTCACATATTTATACGCCGCTTGATAACATAGACTTAAAAGAGTGAAATTGAAGCATGTTGTACCTACCCTGTCTTCCTTAACTGTTGGTTTTTAAGCATGTACAACGTCATCGGTCATGCCATTCTTGATCCATCGGTTATCGCCCGATCATGTAAAGCACTGTGCTACATTTGGTCAACCGAGAAAATGGCGCAAATATTGAGTTTGCTTTAAATTTTAAAGTGCGTACATAAAGAAAACGAATAGATAAGTCTATGTCAACCACTTTACATGGATCTAATCAATGAAAATATTTTCTTTTTCTAAAGAGTGCTGATGCAGGAGCGCGACGTTCTGAAATCAGCAAAGTCCAATCCTAAGCTTTGCTAACCGCAAACGTGTGGTTTATGTTTTCAGCACCGTTTCATCAGTGATCAACTCTCACGCGGCGACCTTTTATGTGGACGTCGTCTCTCCGCACATTGACTTGGGTGCGAAGCAAGCTATGTGGATGACACATTTTTTAGGTAAGAAGAAGCCTAAATAATTCGTGGGGGGTGGTGGGGACGATGCATTGCTGCGACATAATGCTATCTTGGGTTAGAGCATTCATTCATTTTTCTTTGACCACTTTCGCCATGTTGTTTCTCGTGCACGCCCCCAGCTTTTGTTCTAACATCCTGGTTGTTTATGTTCAATTAAGCGTACTGTGTTCTTGTGGTAATAATAAAACTTAAATTCGAACTTCAATTTCAATGAAATTGACCTTACAGAACTGGGAAGCGGCACCTTGATGACTGCGTTCGCCGTACTGGTGCCTTACTTGGGAACCGCGACACGGGTAAGTCGACAGAATTCGTAAACTCAAATTATCCTAAATTAATCACTGTTCAAGCAGAACAATTAGACCTTGTGTATAAATGAAGTGTAATTGCGCAAGTTCTCGCCAATTTAGCGAAGCTACAGCGTAATTCACTCCGTCTTAAGCTCATACACATTTGTGTGCCAGAGCGAAAAATGGCAAACTTGTTCAAAAGCGCAGCTACTCATAGGATGTTTGAAATTTGTGGACCACTTCTGAACCGCCCTTGTTAATATAGCCTATCCCTTCCGGCCTTTGATTTCTTTAATTTGACAAGATGTTTTGAGAGCTTACTGGTTCCAGCCCTTTCTGGCCCAGATTTTTTTTAGGCATGTAGATGTTCTTACGTGTGCTTTTCCTCATGGCTACAGGTTCAGAAGACCAGAAACAGAGCATTGAGTCAGCGGTGTAATTAATAATAGATTTTTCTATTGACGTTCCTTAGGTAACCAGAGCTCAGTGGCCGTAAAATGAGGAAAATGGCTTCTATATTCCTGCTACTCGCAAAAGTACTCGAAATCTGAACCACTTCCACTTTCAGTCAGGGTAACTTTATCAGGCCATTCGTGAAAGTGACTGAAACTTCATTAGTAACTTGCAAAATCCCGATGAAGCATTCGAGAATTTTTGTGCCCTATTCCTAAAAGCTGTGCACAAAAATACTAATATTATGAAGTCTTGGTAGTCTTGGCTGCGACAGCGTTTATTTGAGGAAAGACCTCGCAAAACGAACGGGCAGAGCCAGCGCACAGACGATGACGATCATGATGACCCAGAGTGGCAATGAGGGCAAAGAGACAAGCGGATGATGGTGATTTTGATTATGAAGGGATGAGGACGATGTAAGTTACAAATGCCCCTGCTAATTCCCCCCACTTGGAAGCGGACACCCTGGCAGCCGTAAGTCAAAGTGACGGGGAACGTCGCGTGAAAGGTTTCATGCGACAAACGTGGACAATCTCTGTGCTGCGGTAGCGACGGTCTGTTGGGGCGACGAGTGGTGTCACACGATAATTAACCGGCGAAGTCTGTTCTAAAACAATGTATGGCCCGATGAAGCGTGGTTGGAATTTGTCACAGAGACCAGGAGTGCGAATAGGTGTCAAAAGCAGCACCTCGTCACCAGGTTGGAAAGACACAACGCGGTGGGATTCGTCATAGATGATCTTCCGCTCGTGCTGTCTCGCTTCAGTATTGATGCGATCCTGATGTCGAGACTGGGCCAGGCGGGAAATGTATTCTTCGCTAGAAGACTGACATGAATTCCCATGGCTGCTAAGGAAGGAGACGTCGAGAAAGGTAGTAGGGGTGCGTCCGTACACGAGGTAAAACGGTGAGTAGCAAGTTGTTCGCTGAACAGCGGTGTTGTAAGCGAATGTCAGGAATGGTAAAAGAGTATCCCAGTTTTTGTGGTCGGGTTGGACGTAAACGGCTATCATGTCGGCAAGGGTTCGGTGAAATCTTTCTGTGAGACCATTTGTCTGAGGGTGGTAGCTTGAAGAAGAATGGCGATTTGGGCTAGTTGGTTTGAATTCATAGTAATAAGGGCTGCAGCGCGAGCACGAATGTGCTAGAAGAAACAGACAAAGTCGAGGTACGGAAGGCAAAAGAGGACAACACGAGCGCTGTGTTCAAGCGGATAAGGAAGGTGTTTTCGTTATTCTACACAATGATGTCTTTTTGCAAAAAGCGTCACAGGCGGTTGTGAAACACTTTGTACAGGTTACAGCAAAAAGTTCCAATATCAAGAAAAATGCTATAGCTCGCCTCGAGGCTGTGAATTTGCTAGCAGCGCTCGTGTTGTCCTCTTTTGCCTTCCGTACCTCGACTTTGTCTGTTTCTTCTAGCACATTCGTGCTCGCGCTGCAGCCCTTATTACTATGGTATCTTGAAGCTGTCTTGTGAGTAGTTCCAGAAGCGCGCAGTACTTCATTTACAACTTGTGACAGGAACACTTTGCCGCGGTCACTAAGCAGTACACGAGGAGCCCCATGACGCAGTATTATTGCGTGAAGAATAAAGTCTGCAACTTCCACAGCTGAGCCTGTAATAACAGAAGAAGTCTCAGCGTAGCGTGTCAGGTGGTCCACGGCAGTCACTATCCATCGTTTGCCAGCAGATGTGACGGGGAGAGGCCCGTAAAGGTCAACACCTACAACCTCGAACGGCATTGAAGGGCACGGAAGTGGCTGTAGAGGTCCAGCAGGTGCCGACGTGGGGAGTTTACGACGCTGGCATGGGTAGCAGGAACCGACGTACCGAGCTACACTAGAAGAAAGGCCAGGCCAGTAATAATGACATCGAATGCGGTCAAGAGTTTTTTGAAAACCAAGATGACCAGCAGTCAAGTCGTCGTGGAAGGCTTCGAGCACCTGAAGTCGAAGAGAGCGTGGCAGTACAGGAACCCAGCGCTGACCGTCAGGGTGGTAGACGTGGCGGTAGAGAACCCCATTGTCCAGCTTAAAGTGCAGGAGTTGACGACGGAGTCGCGCGTTTGGTGGATGAGAAACTCCCGAAATGTGGTCCATCATGCGTCTGCAGTTTGAATCGGACCGCTGACGGGAGATAAATGTTGGCTCGTCATCCGAAAAGGGTTGCGTTATTGATGCGAGCGTATGAACTTTGGTAGATGTGGCGGTTGAGTTCTCACCAACGCTCATATGGGTAGTTGGAAGCGGGCAACGAGATAAAGCATCGGCGTCTTTATGTTTTCTGCCTGACTTGTAGGTTATGTCAAAGTCGTACTCGTGTAAGTGTAGTATCCACCGACCCAAGCGTCCGGACAAGTTCTTCAGTGTAGAAAGCCAGCATAAGGCATGGTGGTCCGTAACGATTGTGAAGGGACGGCCGTGGAGATAGGGACGGAACTTCTGGACCGACCAAACCACAGCCAAACACTCTTGCTCAGTTATAGTGTAGTTCTTTTCAGCAGCAGTGAGTACGCGACTGGCATATGCAACAACTTTCTCTAGGGAAGACTTGTCGCGTTGTAGAAGAACGGCTCCTATACCAAGGCCGCTAGCGTCGGTATGGAGGATAGTTGGTGCGGCTTCGTCAAAGTGGCAGAGCAGAGGTTCAGACGTGAGTGCCCGCTTCAACAGGTCGAACGCCGTTTGACATTCTTGAGACCACAGAAAGGGGACGTTGGAAGCAAGTAGTTGGTGTAATGGAGCAGCAATAAAAGCGAAGTTCTGGATAAACCGGCGAAAATAGGAGGCGAGGCCAAGGAAACTGCGAAGCTCCTTTGGTTTTTCGGGGCGCGGAAAGTGAAGGACTGCAGAAATCTTGTCAGGGTCGGGCCGGATGCCATCTTTGCTAACGACGTGTCCTAAGACCTTGGTAGATTTGCTAGCGAAAGAGCATTTCTTCGTGTTTATTTGAAGCCCGGCGCCCGCAAGGCACGTCAAAACTTGATCCAATCGTTCTAGGTGCTCAGGAAACGTTGACGAAAATATAATAATGTCGTCCAGGTAGCATAGGCAACTTTTCCATTTCAGGCCGCGCAGCACGGTATCTATCATGCGCTCAAAAGTCGCGGGTGCGTTGCAGAGCCCGAAAGGCATCACGTTGAATTCATATAGCCCGTCGGGGGTTGCGAATGCCGTTTTCTCCTTATCGTCTTCATTCTTCATGCATGGGGATCTGCCAGTACCCAGAACGCAAGTCGATGCTTGAAAAGAATTCCGCGCCTTGTAGGGAATCAAGGGCGTCGTCAATGCGTGGCATAGGGTACACGTCCTTGCGTGTGATCTTATTGAGCGCCCGGTAGTCCACGCAAAACCGCACAGAGCCATCCTTCTTATGGACCAAAACAATAGGAGACGACCAAGGGCTAGATGAGGGACGGTTGACTTCCCGTTTAAGCATGTCCGCAACGTTTTCTTCTATAATTTTTCCTTCAGTTAGAGACACGCGGTAGGGTCGGCGGTGTACAATATATGTCCCAACAGTTTGAATTCGATGTGCTGTAGTATTAGTGCGGCCCAGCTTAGACGAGCAAATATCGAAAGAATTTGCATGTTTCTGTAACAATGCGAGCAGCTGCTGCCTCTGTGAATATGTCAATTCGCTGCTGATAGTGGTGGTAAAGGCGGAGGAAGAAACATGCTCACCGAGGCAAGGTTCTTTGGATGCGATGGCCTGAAGTGGCGTGACCAGTACAGGCTCGAAGTCAGCAACACACGCCACAGTAGTGCCCTGTGGCAGTAAGATCTTCTCCGGTGTAGAGTTGACAGCGGTGACAAGTGCCGAGCCATTGCAAAAACGAACGACACCGGACGGAAGAACTATACCTTTGCGAACGCAAAGTTGTGATGGTGAGACCAATACATCCCCGTGATAGATGTCGTTGGACGTAATGCTGACAATTTGCTCTTGTAGTGGCGGGAGTTCGATGCCTTTCGCAGCGACCAGACGAAGTGGCTTCTGGTTATCGTCGTCAAGCATGTAGTCGGTGTCAGCGAGGTGAACGACGCGTTGTCCACAACAAATCGCCGCGGAAGCAGATGATAGAAAATCCCACCCTAAAATTAGTTGGTGAGAGCAGCGGGACAGGACAGCAAACTGGACATGATGGCGGATGCCGTCGATGAAAACACGCACAGTACAAAGCGCGGAAGGGCGAATGACGTTCCCCTGGGCAGCGACTAACGTGGGACCATCGTAAGGCGTCATTACTTTCCTTAAATGTTCACACAAATCAGCACGTATCACAGACAATGTCGCACCTGTGTCCACCAAAGCATCGACTCGCACTCCTTCCACTTCCACAGAAAGCATGTTACACGGGCCTAATGGAGGAATTTCAGTTCTAATTCCGAATGCAGTTTTTCCTCCACAAACTGCATCGTTTAGTTTTCCGAATGAATATCAGAGGTGAATGAAGCGGGCCGAAGTGGAGAAGTGGAACGGCGGAAGGGCGAAGGCGAGCGGCGTCTCGTGTTTCCGCTGTTTCGTGGTGCAGTCGATGCAGGAGGAGA